CTTAAATCTATTCATCAAATTGATAAGAGAACACGTTTTTTGTTGTAAGCTTCTTTCTTACTGTATCTCCAGGGGGTCAGAAATTATTAAAAAGGCTAAAATATGTCCTCATGGTTAAATCTGTAATATAAGTATTATTTTTAGTGTTATATAGCAGTGAATAGAAAAGTTTCTAAATTTGAAATGGGTTGAATTTTTGTGTGTCTGCCAGCTAACCCTGTTTCTAAGATTAATGACTGCAGACAGGTCCAGAGCCATGATGGAAACAATCCCAACTGTGTCACAAAGAACATTACATTGACATACTCCGCGTCTGACAACTAATGTGTTCTGCTTTCAAAGTGACTCACGCAAAAATATGAATTTCATCACATGGCTCTTCACATGGAAATGGGATTCACGGAGCATGGGAACTGTAATATTATTTCCCTACAAGTCTTAGAAATGCCACAAAAACCTCATATGCTCACTCTAGTGGTGCATATACTTCAATTTTATGTTCCTTTAAAAGGTGCATTGAGATGGTTGAACTATAAAGTTATAAGATAAAATGATTTTTATTTAAATCTTGCATCACTTTTTAAATAACACTTTGCAGATGGTAGGGTGCCTCAGAAGGGAATATAGCAGCACTGAGTTGTGGTTTGACTGGGCTGAAACCCTTGCATTAGTGGGAAAGAATGAGCTGTTAATTAATGCAACTTTTTATATGTGTTAGACTCAGAGCTGCAGGTTGAAAGGTAAAAATTAGGTGGGGAGAAAATTAAATGTTACAGGATGAAACTCTGCATCATACTCGCACTGAAATTCAAAAGCGCTTACATTGTTAATATGGCAATTCTTGTCTTTTCAAAATTATGCAGCCAGGACAGATATTTTTTGGGTTGCAACTTTAAACTAATACATTCCTGAGGCATATTTTTGGTTCAGTTTTAGTCTTCAGTCTTCTTTAGTATGGATCTATCAGGATGTCAAATCTTGACTCTTTGGGCCGGATCTATCAAAGGTTTGCGTGTATAAAAACGTGAGCTATTTCACTGCGCACGCTAAAAAATGTACAAACTGATCTATAAACAGCGTGCTAAAAGGATTTGGTCTTTAAAACGTGCCAAATAGCGCCTCTTATCCATTTAGTACTTTTTCTGCAATGAATATGCAATATGGGGCGTTTACACGCAAAAGTGCGTCTTGTGGGAGGAGAACATGTAAATATATTAATTTAGCACTCGCAAAGTGATTTATCAAACCTAAAAACAATTTTGCTAACGGTATCTGACTCTATATTTAACATGTTTCAAAAGAAGGTGCAAATGGTCTGTATGCGTAATTGCGCACACATGGCAGCGGTTATTGTCGCAAAAAGGAGACATCGAAATGAAGCAAGGAGACGCAGAGAACGCATTTTTTCACTCCGTGTGAATATTTTTGGAATGAACGAGGAAACGATCATCAAAACATATCGTTTATCCAACATTGCCATTTTGGAGCTGTTGGGGGAACTCCGAATGGATTTGGAGCCAGCCACAAGGAGGACCCACGCAATACCAGATATCACAAAACTCCTTGCAACATTGCACTTTTTTGCATCTGGGTCATTCCAGCGTACGGTTGCAGCGAGAGCTGGGATCTCCCAATCTCGTTTTTCAGAAGTGCTGTCCGAAGTGCTGTCCGACGGGGTCGGGGTTCTCCACCTGCGCCTGTGGAGCAACATGCCAATGCTGCGGGGATGCGTAATCTCATCCACAGTCACTTCTTGTGAGCCATTTGGTATGTGCATTTTTCTACAGGCCAATACAAAACACCTGTTTTTTTTTTTTTTTTTTGTTTTTTTTGTTTTTTTACTGCAGTGAAGTAGAAATTCAGCCACATACCACCTTAGGGAATAAAGGTTGCCAAAGTTTTTTCTTTATATATCACTGTAAGATTTAAATTTCTTAATGCACTAGTTTGTAGAAACTACAAACTACTTTGCCGCAAACCACAAAACGCGCAAAACCATCATTTAAATAGGGCGTCTCCAACAGTTTTGCACCTGCCACCAGTTACGCAATCGCTCTTGTTAAATCACTCGCAAACCATGGTCCAGCCCCTCGCGCAAAATTCCAGTTTGCGAGCGCAAATTACTGCACGCAAAATTGGATCTTGATAAATCCGGCCCTTTGTACTTTCGTCAAAATCTCCAGGTCCATCAGAAAAGGAAACCATCTCTTGTCAAAAGCTCTTTTCTGGGGAGCCCAAAAATCTAAATAATAGATCATTCTACCAGCTTTATTCGATTAAACTGATCATGATTCAGTCTTTCATTGAGCTTCCTCTTTTTCTTGATTAGAATAATAATTAAAACAAATGTTTTATAAAAATATTTAACTGTATATTGTCTATTTGATGTTGGACAACTTTATTTAAAATTATAATCAGAAGTTAAACCCTGGCTTCCTTAAATCCATGTTTCTGTATTTTCCAGTTAAAAACACACACACACACACACACACACATATATATATATATATATATATATATATATATATATATATATCTTCCCCATAAATCAGTCCATATCTTCTACCATTAACCCCCTAACTAACAAAAACTTGTCAACTACTGCTTTCTGCCACCAGTGAACTACATTTATTCAACTTTGATCAGATAAAACAACAAAGAGTATAAAACTGAACTTCCTCTATCTCAGACATCTTCAACATTTAGGTACGTCACTGCTTCATCACAGCAGAATCCAATCACTGATCAGTTTGTTCTCATGAGGTTATCATTTTTTGATTTAGGTTAGCTAGAGCAAGGATGCATCTATAAATTGAAGGGCAGTAGATTGTGAGGACGGGAGTTGGAGACACCTGCTCCAGTTGAAAATGTTATTAATAATAAATTACAAATAATTATTGTTTGTATGGAATAATATTAATGGAATTATAAAAATAGATGTCTATTAGTGAACAATTATAATTTTGCTCCACAAATCATTTTTGTTAGGTTAATTTGAATATTGTAGAAATTGATGTCTAACGTAAGAGCCTGAATCTTTTGCAATGCTGTTTCTTCCATGTCAGAGGCTTTTTTTGCAAGAAAATTTTTCTGTATTCAAACTCGACCCTGATTTAGCAGATTATCCTAAAGTTATCCAACATTTGTTTTTCTGGCTCTTGGCAGCCCTCCTGACAAATTTGCATTTATTAATTTAGGAGGAATTGCTCAGTTTGGAATTTCCAGTTAATGAGATTAACCCAGAAGTCTGAATGTACAAACTCAATTGAGAGGCTCTAAAAAACTGCTGTTTCTTTCATGGCTTTTCTTTTTTGTTTTTATTATTTTCTTATTTGATGTGTTTTAGTGTTGCTTTTTACATTTCCAGTATATTGAAAATCAAATTACATTACTCAGGAAGGCAGTATAAATTATGGGTAAATAAAATGTAAAAAATAATTTCATCATAATGTGAAAGAGTTTGTTAAAGAACTGCATCTTTTATTTAAGTTACAACCGTATGTAACTTTAACAAGTGGACGTGGACTTTTCAACTATAGCCACTGTTTAAAATTTATATTGGACATGATTTGCGTTGCTAGTTTGTTATTTAAGATACAAATATCATCTCCAGCGGCTACTACTTTAAATAGCCTTTTTGTCTTTTTTTCTTCTTCCTATTGAAGGGAACTGAACCCTCAGCTTGCTTTGAAGCGAACATAAGGAAATGCATCTTGACTTTGTGGATGACCACCCTGAACCCTGTTGCCCACACAATTTGTTCTATTCAGTGACTTTGTTCTGTCCTGCACTGTTTAGCATAGCCTCCCAGAGCCCTGCTCTGAACGCTGGAGTCAGAGCAGAGAGCCAACGAGCGCTACCAACCGATTCCAGATGGCTTCCACAATACAGGGCTCAGAGGATGAGCACTGAAAAGAAGATTGATTTCCTTTGTGGAGTATGACAAGCCATGCACTAGAGCACATCTCTCCAAGCACACAAAGGGAAGCTCTAAAAAAACATATTTCAAAAACTTTTATTTATTTAATTTTATATCAACCTGCCTTTGGGGGTAAAACTACAGGCGGAATGTTTTGATGGTTATACTCCTTTTTCCTGTAAAGTGCATATATATATATATATATATATATATATATATATATATATATATATATATATATATATATATAGTACAGACCAAAGGTTTGGACACACCTTCTTCTTCAAAGAAATTTCTTTATTTTCATGGCTATGAAAATTGCAGATTGAAGGCATCAAAACAATGAATTAACACATGTGGATTTATATACTTAACAAAACAAGTGTGAAACAACTGAACATATGTCTTATATTCTAGGTTCTTCAAAGTAGATACCTTTTGCTTTGATAACTGCTCCAGAGGGAAAAAGTAACAGCTACTCAGACAGAAGATTTTAACGTATTTCAGCTGATATAAAAAAATTATTAAAAAAAAATTGCGAACTGAAAATATTGAGATTAACTCCCTAAACCTGCTTCAACTCAGTCCTTGTCTTCTTAAGCTGACCAACATCTTTATTACTTCCTTGTGTGAAATTGGCAGAGATCAATCTGCCCGTTTAGCTAATCTCCCTCGACCTGTCTGCTACGATGATTTCCAATTGAGTACCAGGATCTGAAACATCATAGTAATACATCATCTACTGTGAACTGGAACAAATGACAGCCTTATACATGGTCATTCCAACCATTTCTTCCACCAATATCATGACTGATATAGAATTATTACACCAGAGGGAAGGTTCCTATTTCTGACATTAACTGCTGAGAAATATCATCAAATGTCTTGACTATTCCTGTATTACCCCATATAAAATGACAATATCCAGAATATAATCCTTTCCACAATTTCCACATTAAATATTACAAAGCTTACAATAGGGTTTGTAAAATTAAAATTGTTTCTTTCAGAATGTTCCTTATTTGAGCTATTAAAGCTCAAAGCTGCTTCAACTCAAAAAATATTTCTTTACTTTTTGCAGACGTTGTTTCGAGATGGTAGGAGAGAAAGCAGCGTAAGCAGGCTGTACCTTTCACCTTCCAACATCGAGACGGGTCAGCAGATCATCTGCAAAGCCTCCAACAAGGCAGTGCCCAACGGCAAGGAGACCAGTGTCACTATTGACATTCAGCGTAAGCATGTTTTCCCATGAATCTTTAATCCTTTGATTTTCAAACCTTTAAACTAAAAACGACTCCATCTGTTGCAGACTTCAACTGATATTCATAACTGATTTTATTTTTTTGTTTTTTCTTGTTTTTTTTTAAATGCCATCTTGGCAAATCAATTGGTGATGCACAAGTACTTTTTGGTTGCTATGAGGAAAATAAATGAATCAAAGCATCTGTCCATCTAAATTATATGAGGCTTGTGTTACAGCTACCTGCTTGCAGTGAAAGAATGCAAAGTCTCCACCTCTTTCATACCCTGTCTCATGCCATCAATCTCTTTGATGGGAACATCCACAATTTCAGTTGAAAATAGGCAAAGTAAGCCCAGCGTGTAAACCACATCCAGTCTAAATTGTCAAGGAATATTTTTTCGATCAAGAACTGCTCACAGTAAGAGAAAGACTTTGAACAATGGGATTTTGCATCACTCACAACCCCTTCAAGACATTAAGTATGACTAATAAAGCAGAAAATGCTATTTAGAGAGCCATTATGACTGACGGCTCCATTCTTTTTATTATGTACTCGGCAAGAGGCAAGAATGGCACGAGCGGGCATAGCACAATCAGGCCAACTCAGGCGCAGGAGTAAAAATGATTAAGAGTTGTTAGTGTTTGCAACCCTAGCAGTTTGTGCTTTTCTTTTTTTTTGCCATGCAGTGAGCGAAGGAAGTCTGCCCACATGTAAACTGATTTGTCACCATGTATAATGATGTGTCTGTGATAAACGCCTGCCATCATGGCATCATCCGCGCCTGTAAATGTTTGATTTAACCCTGAAAAATGAGTGGAGAACATCTCTAATTAGCATTCCAAAATGTCGTCTTTACACAATTAAAGCTCCTGAAAACATTTTTCACAGTGAAAGCTGAAACCAAGCGACAGTGAAGACTAATTGTAGAGATCCAAACTGTCTCCCACAAGGCTAAGACTCTCGACTCCCTCCCTCGTTCTTGGTCTCGCTCTCCTCCTCTCTTGGATTTGACAGGTAGTGCTCAGCACGGCTCAGTGGAGCCTTTGGAGTTTCAGAAGAGATCCACTCCCTACATATAATTACACCTGAATTGAAGCTTTCTGTATTTAAAGTTAGTTTTTTCTGTGCAGGTATTAATTTACTTAATTTAAATGTAAGCTAATTTGATTACAAGGTCAGTGATTCAATCGCATCTTTCGAAAAACAGGTGCAAAAAAAGCTGAAAGGAAATTACAGAGTTTTTGATTCAATTGATTGGTGTGCAAGCTCTTAAGAGTTTGCATATCACTTGTAATTTAAACTCAATAATTAGAGTTTTACACATTTATTGACACCCTTTGAACCTTTTCCATAGTACCTAATATTTTTGAGATGAGATAATACATTGTTTTAAAAAAAAATGTCCAAGCCAAAATTGAAAGTGCTTGGCATACATGTGAATTCTGCCTATTAACTTGCTACCCTTAAGCAAATAGGCTACCTTTACTTAAAAGAATGCCTAAACTTATGCTGGTTACATCAAGTTTAGCTATTTTGTGAAGTGCTCAAAAATCTGGAAGACCAAGGAACACAGTGAATTAAATTGTTATTCTCTTGTACACAACAAAATGTTCAGGAGGTAACGCAGATCCACAGAGAAAGATGTCTATAATCTTTTTTTTTTTTTTTTTAATACCTCAATGGACTATTAACATTTCTAATTCAATTAGTTATTACTTCAAATTGAAAATGCATGAAAGTTTTAAATTGCTGATAGCATCAAGCTAAGCTATGGCTAAAAGTGAAATAAGATCCACACATGGGTAAAAGTGTTGGTACGCCTCTTTTAATGAAAGAAAAACCCCAAATGGTCACAGAAATAACTTGAATATGACAAAAGTAATTTTAAGTGACTACAGTTGCACTAATTATCTTAATTTAAAAATCCATGAGACGGAGGCCAACCTTCATGGCTGCAACAGTAAAATAGATAACAAATCAAATAGACAAGTAGTATGAATTTAAGAAAACAGCCCAGAAAAATTTCTAAAGAGATTTACTGTTAAATTCAGCTCAGGAAACATAGGTCTCAGTTTAAACCACTCAGCCTTTTTGAGCCAGAGTGGACTATATAGGAGGTAACCAAAGAGGACACCATTGTTGAAAACAATCATAAAAAACAAAACAAAAGCCAGGCTGGAATTTGCCAAACTACATGTTGATAAGCCACAAAACTTGAGAGAGAATGTCCCGTGGACAGATGAAACAAAAATCTAACTTTTTGCCAAGGAACATCATCTCAATGTTCACAGATAGAAAAATTATAAGTATATTAATAAAAGAACACTGTCCCTACTGTGAACTATGGATGAGGCTCTGTTATACTCTGGGGAAGCATTGCTTCTTCTGGCAAAGGGTGTCTTGAATCTCTCCAGGGTAAAATGAAATCTCAAGACTACAAAATGTTTCTCGGGAGAAATGTGCTGCTCAATGTAAGAAAGCTTGGTCTCAGTCGCAGGTCATGGGTCTTCAACAGAATAATGACCCAAAACCACAGCTAAAAACAGCCAAGAATTGCTAAGAGGAAATAATGGCCTATTCTGAAGTGCCCTTCTCTGAGACCTGTCCTAAATCCTATTGAGCATCTTTAAAAGTAGCTGAAACATGCTGTCTAGAAAAGGCTACCTTAAAACCTGAGAAAACTGAAGCCATTTGCTCATGATGACTGGTGTGTTGTGACTCTGATAGGAAAGTCCACTCACAAAAACAGTTTTAACCAAAAGTGCTGGATCAGTAAAATAAAGTCAGTTCCTTAAAGACCCAAAGGACAAAACCATTTTGGATGACCTAAAGAATTCAGCTATATAATATTTAATATATTACCGTTGACTTAATTACTTTCCAGTGAGTGCTGTCTTACAGTTTATTAGCGACTTATCGTGATAAAATTATTTGGTGTAAATACCACTTCTTAATCCCATCCAGAATTGAATTAAACCTGTCAATTCATCCTCATATTGGAAGAGGCTCACATCCACTTCTAAAACCAGTGATTTAAATATATTTTCTAACATTTAATTACAATTAACTGTGAAGAATTTTGATTATGTCCATCCATTTTCCATCACGCTTATCCCAAGCAGGGTCACGAGGGGTGCTGCCGCCTATCTCCAACTGTCTACAGGCGAGAGGCAGGGTACACCCAGGACAGGTCGTCAGTCAATCGCAGGGCAACACAGAGACCAACAAAATAAACAACCATTCACGTACACACTCACACCTAAGGAGAATTTAGAGCAGCCATTTAAAGTCATATTTGTGGACTGTGGGATGAAACTGGAGTCCCAGGACATGCAAGAACATGCAGAACATACAAGCTTCATGCAGAAAGAAAGAATCAAACCCGAAACCTTCTTGCTGCAAGGCAGCAGCGCTATCCACTGTGCCACTGAGCAGCAATTTGATTATGTGACTCGGACAAATAACGTCAGCTATGAGAAGACTCATACTTATCTTATTTTTTTCTGGATTCAGAAACTATGACAAAGAAACATCAGTCACTTATCTCCACAAGTGATCAAATTACTTGACTGTAGAAAAAGCTTTGTACTCAATGGTAAATTACATGAGTAAGACTTGATGCAAACGACTAGGGGGACCAACCTGGAAAAGAGGCAAGCAGAGCAAGAGCCAATAATGCTAATCAATGCACTTAGCTTGCCTTATCTTTTGATTGAATTAGCATTTTTCTTTAACGGTTTCGTATGAAATTAAAAGACGATCTTTCTTTGGCTTCCTGTCATAATAATGATAAGCTGAAGATGTCAGGGACTAAAACTACTTTTCAAAAAGAGAATAACAACCTGACAGAAAAGTGTATTTTAAAATATTCAAAGCCAAAAAAGTAGAAAAATTGAACCTTTTAAATTCCTCTTTTCACTCCGAACAAAAGTTAAAAGCCATCCCACTACTTACTGTATGAGGGAATTGTTCCCTGAAGAGCTTCCTGTCAGCTTGTGAAAGAAATGACGGACTTGACAATTAGGTCTTCGTAATGGCTCCTGGATGTTCTCTCTCCTTTTACAGCATAAACTAGCCACATGTGAATCCCCAACAAAACAAGTCAATTATTGCTGACAGATTTAAACCCCCACTCAGCCATGGGTAAAAGCATTGTGACTGACCACTCAGTAATCTGTGTTAGTGTGTGTGTGAAAATCTAGAAGCTTCAGTCAGTTATGTTATGATGTGGCAGTCCTTAGCATGCTTGAAAATCTAGTTGATTAAAATTTCTGTCAAGAACATTTAAAGAAACTTGAACATCAACAAAAGAAATTGGAGTACCAAAAGGCTCAACGAAGAACTACAAAGGGTCTCAGTGGGGAAGGCAACTTTTTAGAGTCTTTTCCCAAAATCTTGTATTCAGTCCACCTTTGTGCTTAGCTGTCCATTTTCCTCTTTCTCCCTCAGTCCAAACAATTTTAACAGCTCTGCATGTTGCTCTACAGCTTAAACAAAAATGGCTTTAATATATTTTCTTTTTATCATTATTTTAATGCCTATGGTTTACATCTAGCTCAGCATTTTCCCTCCCACCAAAGTTCATATGCTGTTATCTGGATGAGGTTTAGACAAATTAGCATCTAAATACAGTATTCGCTTGTGATGTTACCGAAATGAGAGGGATTAAAGCCAGCAGAGGTGATTCAGAACCCTGGATAGACTGCTGACTACAGTTGTCCACACCATAAAATTAGTGAACCGCAATTATTTGATATTGTATCACATGGAGAAGCTATCACATGAGGCTGTTTTCTCCATTTTGATGCTCATGTGGCTTCTTCTTGAATCAGTAAACTTTCCCTCTTCCACTACAGTACCTACGACTGCAGGGGAACTCAGTTTAGAACGAAAGCTTCATGTCTCGCTAATTCCCACTCATCACATGGTTTGAAATATTCCTCATTTATTTTCTAGTGCAGTTGCATATCTGCAGCGCCTTGCCCCACATAGAACTGAGCTTTGAAATGTGTAGTGGGAAATTAATGCACCCGGGACAGGCAAAGCCAAGGTTTTTTTTGTGTGTTTGAATTGCAAACAAGCTGAGCCATGTGGGGGGAAAATGAATGCCATTTGTTGGGACTAATTAATAAAGAACATGCACATGTGCAATTGGGAAGGATTTGTTTTTTAGTATCTTGCTCAGCTACATGCTCTCCTTGCTTAATCAAGCAGATAATGCCAAATTCATCCAAAACAGCATCTGTGAGTGAGGAGGAAGGAATACAAGGATGTACAGACGAGAAAAATGCTCTTGCATTTCTTAGAAAACTTTCTATTAGCGAACATATTTTGGGGCATATGCGCTGTATGGAATGTGGCACAACATCTGCCATCATTAAACCAAGTAAATTCAGCATTCTGAATATCTTATGATCAATATGTTAGACCTCAGGTTGTCTTTCCACCTGTTCTCTTCTGAAGTATTCCACTCAGCTAGCCAGCTGACAGCATACCCATATTGTTGACAATGTAATCTTTGGTCTCTGCGTCTTTCCGAGGAATCCAACCGCTTTATGAATTTGGGGCTCGCCCTGCTGAAGAACAGCTGTCTACAATGACCCAGAGAGACTGGAAATTGAGCTATAAGAAAGGGGGAGGGAGTCGAATTTATGCTGGCACTATCTCCATAAACAGAGAAGTTGGAGGATTGTTCCAACAGCACCATCTGGTCTCCACTTTGAACTAACCGATCAAAGCTGTCGGCCAACTATAACAACACCCTCCCCAAATTTCTCTGTTAAACATCTCTCTTACTCTTTTCCTCCATATTTTTAATTCCATCCATTCTAGTAAACGATTAGTTGTCTTGTGCCTTGGTCTACCCTGGCTTTGTCTCAAACGCACCATTCCTCAACTTGTTTAATTTACACATCAAATACTAATGAAAGAGATGCCAGTAACACAAGGTCAAAGGTTAGAATTTGGATCTTGCTTTCCAACAGCTGTTGCTCCAAGTGCTGTCCTTCCAAATGACTCTGAAAGATGAAGCAAAGAAAATAATATCATTATGACTTTACCTCTGAGGATATATATATATATTTTTTTTCCCGTCAAAAAGGAGGGCTAGTTCAGGTATGAATATGGATTTTTTTTTGGACAGATTGACAGTAATGAGCATTTTTGTCTCCAGAAGTCTCTTGGCAGCAAAAAGAAGGATGTCATGATTAAGAAGTCACATATAGCAATAGCTTCAGTGCCTCTGAATTCACTTTTGCCTTGTAATGTCTATTAGTACAGAAACTACCTTAAAATCTTCTCTTGTCTTTTGATGTCTGTCTCCTTTTCTCTCTTCTTCCCCAGATTCTGAGTTACTTTTTTTTCATTGCCACCTTGACTGTTGCCACACCTGTCCGTTTTCCCCTTCAGTTGATTTACCAACATTTCCTTTAACAGATTTAACCACCCACAATGCTTTAAACCACCTACTGAGTGGATAATACTATTGCTCCAGGCAAGGATGAGTTTCCAATTTTATTATGATGCACATCCTTGCACCCCCTCTCATATTCGCACAACTATACAAATGGTTAGACACACACAGTTGGCTGCATAGTACCTAGGGATACTTGCTTGTTGAGTCAGCCTGCAGTGTTTCTGGGTTTCACAATGTTGTTGTTTTCTTTACTGGCCTGGGGAGACCTGGCACAGGTGGAGCTTGTGGATTTCAAGGCGTTAAAGAGGTTGGTGGGGGCTGGGGGGTTGTCCTGAAGGAGAATACTTCGCCTGATTGGGGATATTTTATGTAAGTAGGTATGTGGCACCTGGACCAACTCCTCTCTGGGGGTTTGTGGCAGCTGAGCCGGCCTTGAGCATCTGCACAGCTACAGGGTAATGAACAGTATTCCGACACTTGCTTACTGAATTCCTCATCATGGCTGTGCAGAGAGTTACCTGGCTGTATTAAAGCAGGTTTGTGTCTGTTGTTTTTGTCTTCTTCTGTTGTATTTTTTAATTGATTGATCTCCATGTGCTTCATCCAAATCCAAACACAGGTCCTGGTTATAGCTTCAGTGTTTTTGACCATAGATCTACCTTTGAAACAGATGGCTCACTTTAAATCCAGTTTTTTTCTCTTCTAACAAGTTGACTCCCTAAGGTAGCTCACCATTTTTCTACCACATGTGAAAAAGGAGAAATATATGAAATTTAATTTTGAGACAGTTTGTCAAACAGGAGTTTTTTTTTTTTTTTTTTTTTTCCCGTTTCATGGAAACTGGCATAAATAGAAATAGTTGACACTTTCCAATATATTTTCCATTAACAGTAAAGCACTTATGCCACTAATTGCTAGACCAATCGCTAATTATAATCTTCCTTGCTGTGGTTGCAGCTCTCAACAAACTACACCTACATTGCCTTTAAAAAGCCTGACAAATAGCTTTAGTGTAAATAAATAAATACGTTTATCCTCCAAGTTTGAGAGGTAAATGGCTTTGTTTTCTTCATGTGGGACAGGATTGATATGCAAATGAAGCTGTATCTTCAAAAAGAATCCCACCTTTGTCAATTAGGATGAATTAAGTTGTTTATTGAATTTGCATAATAAATGTGTGTGATGTTCAGAGCTATCACTATAATTGTACTGCATCACTGAGGTTGCTTGTTGTTTTTAATTGCTGTGGATTTTGCCGTGGACTATTTTTTGTTTTGTAAATTCTTCTTCTGTGAAATCTGTTATCATTTTACTTTCATCACATAGCAAAAGTAGGGGGAACATAAGAGTAAACACATAAGAATTAATTCCCAGCTTGTTGTTCAGTAACACAAGCCAAAACAAATGTGGGCTGAAGGGATATTAAAACTGAGAGTTATAACTATTCAGGGATGACCGTGCCACAAAGTGAAATAAATGTTCAACATCACTTAAAACACTGCCACAAAGCATTTAAAGAATAACAGTAGCAGTGCAATTAATAGTATATTTCTTCTCAAAGATCTAATCATATGTTTGTTACAGCTAGGGTGGTGCCGGAGTAAAAAAATTTCCAAGAGGGGGTCACTCCAATACGACAGAGTATTAGGGCCAGGCTAGAGATATATATATATATTTTTTGATAATAAAGTCGAGAAACTATGAGAATAAAGTCGTAACATTACTAGAATAAAGTCATATTATTACGAGAATAAAGTCGTAACATTACAAGAATAAAGTTGTAATTTACGAGAATCAAGTCATCATACAACAACCCCAACTTGTTACCCAATACAACTTGTTTCTTTTAATTTTAGGACTTTATTCACGCAATTTTATGACTTTATTCTCGTAATTTTAAGACTTTGTTCTCATAATATTATGACTTTATTGTCGTAATTTTATGACTATTCTCGTTGCAACTTTATTTTTGTAATTTTACGACTTTATTCTGGTAACAATACGACTTTATTCCCGAGACAGAAGAAAAACACAATCTCTACTGTAGCCTGGCCCTAATACTCCGTCGTACTCCAGTCGGAGGGGATTTTGCTGGGAGTTTGATTGAAGTGGGCTGCCATTCAGCCGGCGTTTGACTGGGAAAGGCCATTATGAATGGATGCTACTGTACTTTATACTTATATATACAGTTATTGCACCGGGTGTCAAATATAGAAAGTTCTGTGGAACTGCTTTAAGTGTTAGAAGATCTTTTTGTTTTTTTTTGTTTTTTTATTTGCCAACAAAACTGAGGCTGCATCCATAATTTACTGACAAAAGTTTGCAAAATTCACAGACCATCCAACATCATTATCTTTAAAGTTGAAGTAAATCAGATAGTCATATCCTACACATTTTAAAAGTGCTATGACATACAGTACTGTGGTTCCCCGAGCAAAACAAAGCATCAGAATTGGGTACCACAGTATGACCACTAAAGGTTACTCCACTGTTTTTGTCATAGTTTTCTCTGATTTAACCATCAACAACATCAGCAACAAAATAACTTTCTAAACCATACAGTTCACTGCACAGTGTTTGAAGGGGATGTCAGTTGTGTAATTACTTGTCTTTGTGCCTCTCTGTTTTTATAGATCTCCCACTTGTCAATCTCTCGGTGGAGCCTCAGCCAGTTTTAGAGGGCAACCTTGTAAAATTCCAATGCTCCGCAAAGGCCAACCCTCCCGTTTCGCTCTACAGGTAAGAATATAACGAGCTGTAACCCCAGTGCCCACACATACAGTAAGTCATCCTCAAAGCTTTAAAGAGCCTAGAAAATGTTGAAGGATGAGAAGAATTGCAGTTAATGAGATATTTTCTGATCGATGGCGCAAAATTTAACACCCTGTATTGATGGCATTAATCATTGTCAGACACCCTATAATACCATTGCAACATTACTTCACCTCATACTTGTTACAAGAGGACTCAAAACGATGAAACACTTCTGAAAAATCTAATGGAAAAATATTACAGAAAAACCATTTGGGAAACCATGTCATGTTTCAATAGGCTGCAGCAACGTAAAACAGAGCTTTGTTGCACAATTATTTGGTTTATGGTCACATCATCTCCCTTGAACTTTAAATGTCTATGAGTGTGTCAGAAGAAATATGAAAATCTAATTTGCATGACATATGAGGAAGATATCAAAATTGCCCGTATTTTTCCTGAAATTATGTGGTGAGACAGCACCTGCCCCAGGGATCTGCCAGCTTTGTGCGATGGTGGGTGATTCTATACTTTTATTTCTTTTATTATATCCACTTGTTTAAGAAATGACAATTTACAATAAGGGATTTTTTTCAGTTTAGAAATAAATCTTTCTTTGCCCACATAAGAAATGTTTACATTGTAAAAGGGGTGGTGGTAATTTTATATGAAAGCAAGGTAATTAAGCAATAATCAAATGACAAACAACAGGAGTGACAGAAGGAAAACTGTGTACATCCAGTTCAGTGGTTCCCAAAGTAGGGGCGGGGGCGACGGCCTTGCCCCTCAGTGTAATTACAGGGGGGGCATAGTAGAAATTAACTGATTAAATGACCAAATTTGAGAGGTATTTATACAAGAAAAACAATATTAATAACAATGTTGAATTACTTTGCACATTAAAATAAATAGGTTACCTTATTATAATTACTCTAATAAAATGATAGTTTTGTGATTTAAACTAAATTGTAGCAGTTTTATTTGATTGCAATATGTTTTCTGCAGTTAACTTTTCTTTCACTATACAAAAGTTGCGGGCTGCAGTAGTAGTGGTAAAGTAATTGGAGGGTTGAGAGAACTAAAGTGAGTGAGTGAACCAAAATCACAGTCAATGTAAAGCAAGTTTCGGAAAATAAGACCCAAATGTTTTAGATATAAGAACTTTTATGGTCATTAATAATATAATTGCAAAGTAATTAACAACCAAAAGAAATAAAGTCAGACATAAATAAATGCCAACGTATAAAAGCGTCTGCCTAGGGTTGTATAATGAGATGCCTTTTACAGAGATAAAATTAGAAAATCACATTTCCCTTACTTAGTACCATATCCATTGTTGAACTTGGACATTGTAACATATTTGACTTGATAAGGGGGAAAAAATGCACCTTTGTTTTTACAAACCCCATATGGCCCTCTACACGAGGAGTAGTAAAGTGATTTGTCAAGAGATGGTTCTCTGAGAGGGAGGTTTTTAAATCTGAGCAGAAAAATAAATGGAGCCAAATCAATAGTAAAGGCAATTGCCCAGGTTCAGAATCTTGTTATGGTACTGGGAAATGAAATGGTTGTACAACACACCCACAGGTGGCAAAACAGAGATGTTCCTTTTGTATATAGTTTGGAAAAAAAAATTAAAAAGTCTTAGTTGAGAAAGGGCAGGGATATTGTGGAAAACAAGGTTTATGTTAGACTGTGTTGTTGCACAGCGCTGACATATCTCTTTCTTCTGCAGAGGGATTTAGCTTCCCTTGTTACGAGACTGGATCAATGCTAGAATCAGACTTCACCACAGGGTATCAAAAGCTTTGACTCCTTGGCAGCTGAGATTTTCTTCCAGTATAACAATCTAGAGAATAAAAGGATTGGTTGAAGGTTAAACCCAAAGGAGAATGAAAACATCCCTTTTGCACTCTACAATTTATTTACCTATTTGTTTCAATAGTGTGAAATTGAAATTACAGCTACTAACCTTTCATACTTAAAGGTCCACTCTTCACCTGATTTTCATGGTCACCTGTTTCATTTCCTGTTTTTCATACAAGGGCATCACACTTCTATCGTAATCCATTGCTGTGCCATTTCAATTCAGCACATTGTTGACTAGAAATTTTCAATCTATACAGTACTAGCCTTGGAGGCTTTACCTATGTAAACGCCTGCAGAGAGTCTCCCTCGCAGAGCAAAATCACCATGGAGTGCCGAAATCTGGTCAAGCAGTGTGGGACCATTATTCAGTGCTAATACACTCTGTCTTCCACAGATCAGATAGAGCCCAAAGACAGAGTAGTTCTGAGACGGATGGCTCTTTTCCATTCCCTAGAGAGTCATCTATTCCCTATATGCGCTTCACCGTCGGGCCATCTTCCAATCCAATAGACACTCGAAACACACACCCAAGATAGTGCAGGGGCAATAGTCAAAAGCTTATTGCCTCCAGCTGCCTGTGACCCCTTGTGACTGCAACAGCATTTTAATAAAAGTGCATTAAGGCAGAATACAAATGAGATGTATGTCTGGAACCTTTTCACAGAAAAAAAAGAATAAAACAGAAATGCAAATGTGAGAACTGGAAGCGTAGAACAGCTGTTGCTTAGGAGGAAAAGCAGGCTGTTACTTATGGATCGAATCAGCTGATTTGTGCTGAACTAGGACTTTAACCTAAAAGGGGAAAGGGATTTAAGTGGTCAGGAATACTAAAAGTACAAATTTTTCCTTTACTCTATTTTTTTTAAATAGATAAGTTATGTCCCAATCATTCTAAAAATTGTGAAAAGTGAAAAAAAAAAAAAAAGAAAAGAAGAAGCTATAATATGAAAGTTGCCTACAGAAACATACAGCAACATACTGTAGCAGGCATTCAAAATTTCCCTTCCCAGTCAAACGCCAGTCAAATTGCAGCCTACTTCCCTGTAATTCCCAGCAAAATCCCCTTCAACTTCCAGCCACCGGAGTGACCCCCTCTTGCACATTTTTTTTTACTCTGACTCCACCCTTTCACAGAATTATAGTGTCTGACCAGGAGATAACACTTCTCTTTAGATCTCAATGTCCACAAATCATGACAGAAAGAATATTTCAGTAGAAAAGTTGATGTTTAAAAAGAATTGTAAGGGACCAGCCAAGGGCCCATCATGGAAAATGGGGAAATTTTGAATGGCTACAACTGTAAACTCTGTTGCCTGTATAAATCTAGAGTGTAATATCAGTGGTAAGCATTCAATCACCAGAATGAGAGACAATATGATACATTATTTTGTTTTTAATGCCATTTTCTAAGATGTTATCATTTAGATTCTTATTTTTTTTATTTTTTATTTTTTTTAATATGTCAGCTTAAAAAGCAAAGAGCAACTGAAAATAGTTCATTTTTTGTTTATACCAAAACTGCTAGTAACAGCTTGAGATCCCAGTGTGGGGCCTATGAGCATTAGATCTTGTGGTATTAAAGCACCAGAACATTTCTCATTAAAGTTAGAACTATCTCTAGAAGCACAGGTTCTAATTGCTGTGAGCATGTGACTTTATCTGGTGAAGAAAGTCTTAGATGTTTTTCAAGGTCTCACACATTAAGACAAGTGCTTTAAACTTGAAATCAATATTGCATCTATTCATGAGACTGACTTTGAATTTTGATAGATCTTTTTTTTTTCTTTATTAAAGATGGGTGTTTGGTAGAGAGGGGCTTTTGAAATAAGAAAGTAATTATTGACCGGATGAGAAACAAAAATGGTCTGTAAATGTTAAAACAGTAAATACTAACTCTTACAACTTAACAAAACTGTAGCTTTCTGGGCTAAACTGACAAAATATTTCAGCTTTTTTATGCAGTATATATCTGAATGGAATTTGATTTAAAATCGATTATTCTAGTCTAGATTAAACAGACGGATACAAGTATCTTTAAAATGTATTTATTGCATATTATAAATACATTAAGCAAGGATTTAGAACATGTTATTTTTAGCTTTTCTTTGACATCAGGATCACAAGAATTGTTAAATCTCTTCCTTGTAAAAGGTCGAAAAAGAGATGCTTTTATCTCTCTTAAATGCCTGAAAAAATACCGCTTTGTTTTAAAACCAAATCCTAGTGTGGAGTTTTCTTGTAAGGTTGATGTGTTTTTACACCCTTAAATATGTAATTTTCCTTTTTTCTACACTATACTAAATTATTAGGAACAATGTTTTTTTGCTTCTTTTTTTATTAAAATAAGACTATGTTGTAAATCAGTATCTGTTGAAGTGTTATACAGTTGTCCGTTATGTATTGACAGTTGTTTTTCAGAGCATTTGGGCTCCATTGTGGCTATATATCCCAACACAGTTTAGTATCAAACACTAAGAAAACACTACATTGGCTAACAGTTAGAAGCTAACTAAACAGCTACCCATGGTGCATGTTGATTATAACCGTTGTGCTATAACCTTTTATGTCTTAGTTTGCATTGTTTTCTATGTTTCCCAGGGTACTTTGAATTCTACGTTTTTGATGTAAATGAGTTCTTTCCCAGTTAAGCAGTGGCTAGAAAAAAAGAAACAACAAAAAAATTGGGATGCTTTATTCTTGTAAATTTGCAAATAAAGAGAAAACTACTGGAACTGTCCTCTATAAAACCGTTATGAATACATAAAGGACAGAAAATTCTAATGAGATCAGCTTTTTGAGAAATTACACCAGCTTCCTGTAGAGAGAAACGAAAATTTCTGATTATTTTAATATCACATCCACCCGTCGAGACTTGGATCACACTACACTGGTTTCTTTTGTACGCTTATGAAATATTGGGCCGCAAGTAGATATCAAGAGACCTTGCTTTAATTTCTTGTGAGATCGTAAAAGGGGTTAGTCCTTTATGGCTGTGTCAAAATTACTGGACGCTGTTACTGAGCGTGCATATTTTTTTAATATCACAATGACAGAAGTCTTCAGTTTTAATATGCAGGGAAGGTGGAGGAGAACTGCACTGTGCTGTGCTTAACCATGTTGATAATAACTTTGGGTCCTGATTTACTGTGCGCCTTGGAGCTGATGGCACAGATACCTGCTTAATTTAATTGCTAGCCTTTTATTGCCTTAATAACGTTCAGTAAATGCAAAATCTTCTCCTTCTCCACTTCACTTTCATCTTCTTCTTCCATTAACTATGGACCTTTTATGTCTGGAACAGTTTTAGTTTAAATACCTTTCACCACACATAAACAGCTCTAATGCAAACAGTGATCCTTGCTTCTGCAGATGCACACGACCAAACATAATTCATAGCTTTTGTCTGAATGAAATCCCCGAAAAGATCACAGTGGTGTGGAGTGAGTCATCTATTGAGCCAGCTTTGCATCGGCCCTTTCACCCTCCCTGAGGGAATGCAGGTGTTTTTGTTGCCGAGAGCTAGCTATGTTTAGACATGAGTTTTGGACATGGCCCAGCACACCAACAGAGCTCTCCTGCTCCCGGAGGGCGAGGGTATTCTGTCTCGCTTCCTCCTAATACTGTCAGGGGCTCCCTAACCTAGCAGCTGCAATTGCGACTTGGAGCAGCCGGCTGCCCAAACATCTGTGCTTAACCCATTATGACTCCTGCAGTTTTGGCTGATGGAGTGGCAGTGGAAACAGCTTCATTGTCTTGTGACTTTATTAGCTTGTGTGTCCCTGTTTTACAGTTAGCACACATTTTTATGACGATATTAACATCTTTGGGAGTTGTCTCAGTAATGGTCAGAGCACAGGGCACATTCAGAGATAAAATAGTTTTAGGTGAGCTAGTTTAACTCCTCTCCCTCATTGACATTTGTACCTAACCATCCATTCATGTCATTGCCCTCTTCAGGCTAACAATGATGTCAAGTGACACATGTGTAATTAATACCTTAATCAAGTTTGTCTTGATCAACTTGTCTGGCAAAATGAACCTAAGTAGTTCATGTTAATACCAACCAGCTTATTTTACTGTGCAGCATCAATTTTAAAACAGATTCTGCTGTGTATTAATTTTATCATAATTCTCACTGTGCAACCACACTGTACACCACTCCAAAAATTTGAAAGGATGCATTTTGAATGTGCTCTGGTCAGAGAAGATTTTGGCCTATGTGGCAAAAATGCCAGTGGCTACCAGCTCTAAGTAAATTCCTTGGATAAAAAAGTTTGGCATATACTTTTCCATCATCATACAGAGGTTGCTTTTTACCAGTTTGATTCATTTAAGTAGACACTAAAATTTAATTTAAAATATATTATTTTGATATATTACTTATAATATCTTAGATATCAAAAGTACAAACAGATTTTTTTTGTCAAAATGTTATTGATTTATATAAGTCAGTCCACATTCACATATATTTTATCCAGAAGAACATTGAAATTAACGATAGAATGGTCTCCACCTGCCAAAAGACAGCAGCTCAACTCATAATCTCAGGCTGTGTCCTAANTTGCACTAATTAAAATGTCTTTAAATACACATTAACATGAATTCAACGCACTGTAGTAAACATATAAATGGAAGCAGAAGATGTCCTTCAGTCATCAATGCAAACATTTAGCAACACACAGGCTCTTTCAAACCTGGGCACCATTTCATTCACAACACCTGTCCCATCAGCCAGGAATCAGAATCAGAAGTACTTTAATAATCCCAGGAAGGAATTACTTTCGTTACAAGACTCCATATGTAATAGAGTGACTATAGGACCAGTTTGATAGAACACAATTTCATACAATATATATAATTAGGGGGTCCCTGCTCCATATCAAAATCAGTTTGGGGGTCCTTGGCCTCGAAAACGTTAAAGACCCCTGCCCTAAAAGATAGTGCTACTATGAATCATTGGCTCAAACTGGCCTAATTGAATTGACATATTCTAAAACATAAAAATACATAGTAAGCAAATGTGCAGAACACTAAAAAAAAACTTATATTTTCTTTCTCACAGTAATGTTTTAATCTGTGTTAGTCCATATGCAGTGCTTACATTTTTACAGCCTTCCTTGTCATGCAAAAAATAACTGAAGAAAAAATCTGCTGCACAAATGAACCTAAAAAAGACAAAAAGCCCAATCAGGATTCCTCCTCACTTCACTTACTGGTTGAATGAGATAATTTGTTACCATTTAAGTGAAAGCATTTTAGTCAGGCATGAGGCTAGCTTACTCATGGAAAACAAATTAGCTCTCCATCCCATGGAAACTCTCTTCAGGACTGTCAAGGCGAGAAAATTGAGACATGCGCTGGATGGGTACTCATTTGCTATATCAGCATGCAGGCACTTGTCTTCTGTGGAGGTATTTTATGGTGCATCATGCATTGTTTTTCCAGCAGCACCATTTCTTTTTTCAAAGGAACCCAATACTTCTGGGGGACAGATTTGCTTCTATTTTAATAAATAGGCCTTGTCTTTATAACAGCTGAAAGCCAAAATAACCCATGCAGTGTACGGCTCAGCTGCCCGTGGCATCATCAAAGCCTTACCTTAACACATGTGGCATGTCACAAAGTGTATCATTCAAAAACACAAACAGATGCCTTTCTTCCTGTTTGTTCTCAATGTGATCCCAAGTCAATTTATTAATGTCAGCTGTTGTATTTAATACAGTAAGTCTCAAGCAAATTTTTCAAAGGTAGGAGAGCTACCTATTTGTCACTCTGTGATTTGTTTGTCTTGGTTGCCATTCTGCGCTGCTCTCTGTCTGGCGTAATGAGGAACGTGCTGTCTGCTCTGAGTTGCCAGGAATCTTGTCATTGCACGGAGAGCTGCCACAAAAATTTGCTGAAGCCAGCATAGAAAACGTGCCCCAGAATTGTGATTTATTTGCACAAAACAACCGTACTGACAGATGGGGGTGGGAGTGAGCTGTCTTTATATTTTTTACCCCTTTTCATTCATTTTCTCAACAATCCTTTTTTTCCACCATCTGTTCTGCATTTCAGGTGGGCCAAAGGAGGAAACATCCTTAAGGAGGTCTCTGGGGACACATATGAGGTTCTTGTGGACCATTCTTTTTTCACAGAACCTGTTTCTTGTGAAGTTACCAACTCCCTCGGCAGCACTAACGTCAGTCGCAACGTTGATGTCTACTGTGAGTGTTGAAGTGCTCTGACATGCCTTTGTACACAGACAGTTTTACAATAATGCAAGGTCATAAATATTTGCTGTCTTTTATTTATTGTTTGCCGAGCTCCAAAATATGCAGCACTTTATTCTTTGTTCTTGTTACTTTAAGTCTGATTTATTGTGTTTCTTTAAACAGTTGGGCCTCGCATGGCTGCAGAGCCTCAATCTTTGCAAGTTGACCTTGGATCTGATGCGGTTTTCAACTGTGCTTGGACAGGAAACCCGTCTCTCACCATAGTATGGATGAAACGGGGTTCTGGAGTGGTACGTGTTCCTCTCAGAAAATGGATGCATTTTCATAAATGATTAGAAAGTAAATTTATATCAATAATTCAACTAAAGAAGTAAAATAAAAGTTTAAGTGATAAGCAACAAATATTTTTTTGTTGTTATTTGTATGTTTGTGGCTGGAAAATGTAAAGATTACAATAAGTTATATTTAATGTGTCTGTGTACTTTATAATATTGTGTCAATTCTGGGTCTGTGTTCGTAAATGACTGCATCAATTCAATGTGTCATGAGGCAACCAACACATGGCTGTGGTATTAAGGCAGCCAAGGTTGCTTAAACAGTGACTTGCTGAGACTAGTACCATTTTTCTCACAACAATACTCCACAAATTCTCCTTTATGTTTCTATTTTTCTTAGTCCAGTTACGACACTTCAGGCATTTTCTCAGATTCAACTGTGGCCTAACAAAATCAGCTACAGTTACTGATTCTAGTTACAGTCCAGGTGTTTTGAACCGACCCTAAAGTTTTTAATTTGCTTTCCCTCTGATGCCTTTCAAAGCTGGTGTAATTATTATTTAGCCTTTTCTTAATTTTGTCACCAAATATTTTCTCACCACTCAACTAATAACCTTGGATACAACAATCTTTGGGCTCTCAATGTTTTTTTGCTGGACAGCGATCCTCGTGATTTTTTTTTTTGCCCATAGTAAGAAAGTACTTTTAACATTCATGAAGATATTGGAAAATAATTACAGTTGGTATGTACATTTTTATTAGCATTCAGCAGGTAAATAAATAAATAAATGCTTAAAATATCACTGTTTGTCATCTAACACTTGAAGGATGTCACCTCTTGAGAGGTAGAATTGGACATTGGTCTATATGGCATCACCTACATGGCTTTGATTGTCCATTAAAACAGCCCACCGCCCAACATCTTCAGTGACCTGTTCTCATATGAGAGGCATTGCTTTGATTCACAAAATTAGACTCATTCCAGATTTCCTTTTGTCAACATCAAAGGCTCTAGCCTTTCTCCACTGAGTTCAGACCCTAAATTGGATTTTAATAATTGAGAAGTGCTGCCCTTTAAGGTATTATATGGTCAAATGCTGCCCGGTATTTTTTTTCCCTTAGCACTGCTTGACTGCCATCCTAAATGCAAAGGTTTTCCAGTGCTCATTGCATCTGATGATTTCTGTAAATTTCCTGCCAGGTTCTGAGCAATGAGAACCTACTAACTCTGAAAAATGTGAGGCAAGAAGATGCCGGGAAATATGTCTGCCGTGCTGTGGTCCCACGTGTTGGAGCTGGAGAGAAGGAGGTCTCACTAACTGTAAATGGTAAGTTGTGCTATTGTTATATTCCTCTAACACAAACCAGTCCTGGTGTGCCTACAACACAGATATTGACTGAAAGGAAAGTTAGTCTGAAGGTCTGAGGCCGACAGCAAAAAAACAAGAAAGCAGTTTGTCACAGCAGTCGGTATTTTTGTTTCCTTTGTAGTTTACAGACTCCTTTTACTGAGAAAATTCTGACATAACATCCTACTCTGTTTTGCTTTAGTGGTCTTTCATTTGATATATCATTTTCTTGAAAACATGGTTAATTTTCTAAGGCAGGCATCAAATCAAACCACCAGTCACTAGATGTAGCACATAAATACAGTCCAAAAACATGTTCAGGGAAAATAATCTTTCTAGCAAAAGTAATTTGATACGCCACACAGTTATTTTATTAGGTGTTACTACAGTATGGTATATTTCTGTAATAAAGAAGAAATAAGAAAAGACAAACTAGCCTTTTCAGGACATGGCCTTACATTTCGTAAACAGGTGAAATGTGCTTAAATGCTAATTAGATTCAACATGAGTCACAGGGAGGCTGCCTTTTTTCGAGGCACTGACTAACTAATGAATACCAGCCTTGGTGGGAGACCTGGCAACTCTCAAACAAATGACTTCATTATCAGTGCTTGATATTCATGGAGCATGCTTCAGCATGGCAGAGGTTCTGAGTTGTGGGATTTACATGTTTCTTATTTCCCCCTGTGTCCATCTGTGAGAAACCTGAACCAAAAACAAGACCTCCCGAAAAAAGATGATATTAACATGAGCTATGTACTGTTGCACATTCAAAAGCTAACAAAAGGCTTTGCCTGAGAGCAACACTCATGCTGATTTTGTGATGAAGATACTTCAAGTGGCAAACAATGTGTTCAACGGATTCCCTTTTCACAAACACAGACACTGGTTTTGCATATCAGAGGGATACCAGCATTCCCTCAAGCAAAAGATCAGAATCATGACTTTCCATGAACCATAAGGAGCCCCCTCTATCTGTTGAAGGAATTAAGTCTTTACCCTAACGTAAAAGGAAAATTTATGACTACTTCAATTTTCTCCCATTCATCTGATAGCAACATAGTGTGGCATTCTTATTGCAGTTTTATTACACAGAATACATTTCATCCACTGCGCTTGCTATTATTTGAATTGCACCTTTTTGTTCTGCTCAACTAATGGAGATCATGTTGCTTTTGAAAATGATGCCATGAGAGAAAGATGATAGACTGTTTTAATAAAGATTACAACACAACTTGGGGCACCCTGGGAAACCTGCTGTTAAGCTGAGATGACATGTTTACTTGGTCTCTCTAGCTATTCTTCAAGTGAATTTGGAATTCCCCTGAAGTCTTTTTTTATTTCTTAATGCTCTTTGTTCACTCCCTTTTTTGTGTATTTCAAGCCTCGGCACTTGAATTGTCATTTGACATTCAAAGCCCCCATTCTTTTTAGCCTCCTGAATAATTGAATCACATCTCTCCTCCCTGACTTTCTGAGGAATCTTGAGTCAATTTTCACCCATACCTTAAGGCAAATCAGATTGTCCGACTGTGCAAGCACTGTGGTTGAAGTGGCACGTGTGAGGGAGCTCACCCGATGTTCATTGATTGCCCCCTGCCACTATCTCTTCGGCAAATGAACCTGGCTTCTCATCAGCCTTTTTTACCCTCAATATCATCGATTGTCAGATGAATACAATTGATTCCGCCTTATTTGCTAAGAAGGTAGATGTGCAACGTTTGTAGGCGGGATCACTGTAGCCCAGTAACAGATCAGAGGAGGCTGCACTGCATTTCATGATGTGAAGGCATCTGTTGAGCTTTATATCTTTCTGTTATTTGTTTTTCCTGAAGTCATCCACTGATTCCTTAAAGCCATCATTTAAATTACATGTGTTCATAATTTGTCATCCCCTCTATCTCCCCAAGTCGTTTTGTGTCACCGGCTCCCACTGTGGCACACCAACATAGGCATGAGGATTTTTCTTTCCCTGGGGAAGAATGTAATTTAATTATAATCAAACAGCAGGCAGGGGAGGCAGTTTGTGTTTAAGTCACTAATGGATATATATTGCTTACTGCAGTTAACCATTTTTCAGGACGGCTCATTCCTCAGTGTTTTAATGCAAAGTTGTAAGGGCTTCAGTGCATGAAGGACGGAGGGGTACTTCTTTGATGGTTGGTTGTTTATAGAGCATAAATTATCAGTGAAAATAGTCTATTTTTTATAATCCTGCTGAGTCTGGAGTAAAATAGGGATTTCTGAGATACCGAAAAGATTCAGCTTTTAACCTTAAAAGCAATCTACTATATTCAGGCTGCAAACAATTTATCAATGTGTATGAGTGGACTTTTTTTCTCTGTGTGGGCAAGATGACCCTTAAATAAGGGAAATACAACTAAAGCTGGAAATGAGGGCTGGGAAATCTTGCAATATCCCACAGAGCACATGCTTGTTATAGAGCCTTTCTCTTTTGTAGCCTCTGGACTGTCTTCATGTGTCTGGATAATTAGCAGTCCTGCATTTATAAAACTGGAAGTAAGACCATAAGAGACAATAAGTGCAAAAATGATTTAGAGGAAATTTGCATTTGGGATGTTGAAAAACATCATCTGACCAACTAAACCTCAGCACTGTGCAAAATGAGCACTTTAACTACCTCACAAGATATCTGCTCAGCTTAAAGCCTTCTTTTCTATCAGCCAAGTTAATTCCATATTTTTAAAACAAGGAGGGTGGCCCAGAAGGTTGTGGCTTGGACAGAATTTTGCACATACATATATCTATAGACACTTTTCTTTTCATTTTAGGATATTAATTCTTATTTGAACTTTTTTTTTGGGCAGTGAGCTAATAATGCAGCAAATGTCCTCAATACATTTTAAATCTAAAAAGGATAAACAAAAATAAATTCTGATGGAGCAGAGATGTGGTTTGTGGTTTCCTGGTGCTCATTAATTCATTTGACAGTACTTGCAAAAACTGATATGTGATACCAAATTTAAGTGTCCATACTCTTTTTTTATAAACCTTTATCAATCCTTTAATCTCACAACTCTCAGTTGTTGAGGTGTACAAAGCCCTCGAACTCAAACTGAGAGCCGTGATCTCTTTTGTCTTTGAAGAAGTATGGAAGCTGTTCGATTAGTGCACAGCTGTTTTACTGTTTACCCTGATTGTTTTTTATTTATATTGTAAAATGTTTTACTATGTTAACATATACATCTAATCTTGCCAGTCTTTGCTCGGTTTTTAAACTCAATTAGATATTTCCTGGTTAAATTAAGGTAAATAAAAAAAAAAAGACATTTTAAGATGTGTTGTATTTTCAGTAATCGGTATAAAGCCAAATGTAAACAGATACCCCCCATTATGTTTAATTAAACATCCCATAGCAACCACACAGATTTTAGAAGAATAACCACGCTTAATTCTGGCAAAGATAGCTATTTTAAACACAGTAGGAATTTTCGAGATGTTTTAAGTCAGGGCTTTCATACTAATGTTAGTTTGCTTTACCCAGTCCTATGCTCTCTTTTCCTGTTCGAATGCCCAGTTGTATCTTGTGTATCCATTTGTAAGTTTGAATCCTCCAGCTGGTGATCCCAGGGGAAATTTCATACTTTGAAGTCAGTGTATCTTTATTTTATCATACAGATTTTCCATTAGAACAAAATAAAACAGCAGTTTTGCTATGATGTTACCCCCAATCCCCTGTTTGACATTTGTTGCTGTTGTCTTAAAGTTGTTAATCATTCTGGTGATATGTTTACGTAAGGCCCTACTACATGCTCGTCCCCATTTTCACCTAGTGGTTGTGACTCTAACATAGTGGAATAATTGAAAACCTTTTTTTGGAAGGTAAGCTTGTATGAGCGATGCAAACAGCAACTTTTAAACAGAGTGTGCATGAGCAGAAATGGGCTCTTGCACTCTCTACAGGGTTGTGCATGTGTATTTTTTTTTTTAAATGGAGAGGGTGGGTCTTTCCAAACAAATATGATTCCAAACAAATATCATAGTGAGTTCTAGTTCACGTATTGCAAGGCCTTGCAAAAGCAATTAACAAAACCCTTTTAAATATTTAAAGTTAAATGAGTTAAATGCTTGATCTTAGTTGGACAACCAACATTTTCAAATAAAATGTACAATTTCTAACAAGAACAATGGTCAAAACTTTAGACAGTATCACAACAAAAAATGGTTCCTACAAGCTGCATGTTCAAGGAAAAATTTTATAAGAGAAGCATGCCTATTCATGAGCCTTCATGTATCCTTCTGACCCTTTGTCAATGAATTTAAATCAGCACTGAATTCAGATTCAGCATCTAATTCCCTTTTTTAATTGAATCAACGTGCATAATCAATCACTTCCTTTCTGTGACATTAACTGTATGCCCATGACTGCATGTCAACAGGAAGTGTATGGCAATACATTTTCCCCGACTTACATTATTTTCTATTTGTAAACTGAACAAAAACCATCAGTGTGGAATATGTAAGAGGGAATACAGCAAATTAAAATTCTGTAATCTTCATAGAATACAGTAGAAATAATAACCGGGTTTGCAATTGTTTTGTTGTTTTGTTTTTTAAACTAAAGCTGGGCTCTAGAATGGAAGAAGCTACACATTGCACGCAGCATACAAAGGAGGCTCTTGCTGCTGTGTGAATGTAGAGGGGGGAGAGAGAATAGGGGAATAAAAGCAGTGGTCTGGATATGACACAGATCTTTGCTTCTCAGCGGATTATGCTTTTCCTGGAAAACAGGAAACAGAAATATAATATTAAATATTAAATAGAAATATGTTGTTTAATCAGTTTAAAGCAAATAAAACCAAATAATTAATCACTTGTGGTAACTGCAAGCAGATGGATTGTTGTCAGTTGTAGCTATTGATATTTCAAAAAAGCTGAAGCTTCAAAACAAAATAAAAAAATATATATTTTTTTACCATTAAAGAAAGAACAATGGGTTAGACAGTGATGTTTATATACGGCTTAGCTAAGCGATACACATATTTTTCAAACCAACTGTATGACAGTGGAGACTGGTTTGGTGTTCTTCTCATGTTAGTCGTGTTCTTAATACTGCAGCTACAAGAAACTTTTTTATATTGTTTATAGTTATTGCTGTTTCAATTTAATATTTAGCTCCAACAAGGCCACCTTTTATTAATCTTTATTCATATTCTTCATATTTTTGATTTATCTAAAAAATTACGAATGCATTCTAAACTATAAGTTTTAACCGCAATGAAATTATGCCTAGGTGTAAACAGAACAAAATCTGCTGTTAAACGATTAGGAATGTCTGCAGCTAGTTCTCTGTTTGTTTCTCTGTGTAAACTATGCAGAAACAGTGTCTGTAAATAGTCAGTGTTTTTTCAGCTTTTTTTTGTGAGTGTTTGTGGCCTGTGGCAGTAACATTGAATTACTACTTAGAAGTTTTTTTGGTTCTACAGTAAAGATGTTTCAAATATGGTTTAGGTTAAGGGGAAAGTGAAATTCAAAGGGGTCTGGCTTCTGTTGTTTAATGTATTCAGCTAGAGCAGATTAAAGCTGTGAGGTTGTCAGAGCTCATGGAAGTTAAAAGGTAACTAAATGTGTTCATTTTCAATAAAGCCAGTCATAAAGGAAATAATTATTTGTAGCCCTGCCAAATCTACTTTGACTCAGTATAGTAAATGGACAGTTTAACTGATGTACAGCCTTAAGTATTTTAACTGAAATCTTACAATGATGACTTTTAAGACATAATTCTTTAAAAAAAAATTGCATAAAAGTAAAATAAAAAAATAATACAATACTTTTTCATGCCTATCCAAGCAATACATTTTTTCAGAATTCTCGTACTAATGCATTTTCAAACTGGTATAAATGCTTCAAAGTACAACTAGTTCATATAATTTCATTTATATCATTTCACTAAAAACATTTTTGTTCGGAGCAAAAGGTTTACTGGAAGCATCTTGAACTATAGCGCGACCATGACTGACCAAAATATTGACAGTTTTATTTGTTTGAGCTTTTTGGCTTACTTATTTTTCACATTTTCCCTCAATAAAAAGGGGAAAATAAACATAGGAATCTTTGAGCTGCATTGAGCCGAGGTGAAAATGTCAAGCAAATGCCTCAGTTAAGAAAAGGAAATGTTAGCTGTGGCATTTTGACACCCACACTGTTATTGTATAATCAGATTGCAATGTCCACTCCTGAGTTAACACCTCCTCAAATGAAGGAGGGAAACATTGCACCTAACATTTTGATTACCTCCCCTGCTGCCTAACATTGATGTTGTAGTTCCACCCACCTCCCTTTTACAAACGTGTGCTCTGATCAGGCAGGGCAAGTAGCAAACATGTACATTTGCAAACACACATGCTCTTTTATCCCAGCCGTTGTGATAAAACTATCTGATTTTATTCCTAATTTGCATCACAGATCCATAGAATGGATCCTCCCCAGACGCTTCAACCAGCCAAACAATTGATCTTTTTACCGATTGTTGGAACTAATGCTAAACCCATACATTTTATGTTCTAATCAAAGGGTGATGCATGCAAATACCACATCCAGTATATTGTGTTGACAATAGTATGTTCTCTCTGTTTGTGTAAGGAAACTTGTAGAGGAAACGGAGCAGATTTCAGGGTATTTATTATAGATTGTCTGCAGCATTTAGGTAGCAGCAGTAGCAGCCTTGCAACATCCTCAATAAGCATACCGAGACACCATCTGGCAAAGCCTCATTAAAATGCTAATTCATTTTAATAAGAGACAGGTAATAAACTGCAATTATGTATCGTCGGAGAGATGGTAGAGATCAGGAGTTTGAGGAAGTTGGCAGGGATGTGTGTTCTCTTGCTAATCAAGCTATCTTACTTACCCCCACGTTAAATCCACATCCTTAACCGCCTCACATAGGATATCATAACATTTGGTTTTAACTAAGTTTCAGAGACACTCTTCCCAGACAAAGAGGAAACAAGGGAACCTCCTTTGTGAAAACTTCTCACTTTTAACCAAGCTGTCAAATGTAAGAGGCTGAGACCATTTAGCATTTCTTGCCTTAATTTCTTTTAATTTAATCAGAACTAAAATGGAAGTCTCTCACTGGATATTTTCAGAAAAGATTGATATAAAGCATAAGCACAAGTGAAGGGTTTTGTGCCCCTGGTGAAAAAAATCAAATAAAATCAAGGTTCATTATTTACATCTTTTCTGGCATCCCTAATAATGTTGGATTGGTTGGGTTGCTATGTCTAGTATATATAAATTTGAATTGTCAGACTGATTGCAAAAAAAAAAAAAAAAGAGTTAAATAAAAAAAAGTCCCTTCAATGACTGCTTAAATACTTACTAAACTTACATCTAATAAGGATAACCACATTAGTCTGCAGCTGCATCTTCTTACAAAAGAGTATTGAGTCATACTTTGTACATTTTTTTACATTTAAATTTAAATAATAAATGCCTACAAATAAAGTTTCTTTAATTAGCAGATAGTGATAATATGATGTAAAAAAATCCTTGAGATGGAGGGATCTTTGATCATTTATACAACCTCTATACAGGAAGAGTGGTGACTTGGCAGTTCTCCTGCAGTCACTGATACCCTCAGAGAGGCAAAAAACAAAAGGTCAAAGCTAGATAAGCTGTCAATTCCTAGAGTACTTTATTGAAATGCACTAGAAAGTTGAGTGGAAAGAAAAAGTGTTGCTCAGAAAAGAGGATTGTGAAAAGCCATTTAAGGGCAAGCTACTGATAATCAAGATGAACAGAAATGCATCAGTTTTGAATTGAATGGAAATATCAGTTTTAATTTTTGAACTGGTTTACTGACAAACAAACTCCAGTTCATTGAGATCCACCTGTATAAAAAGCAAAACATTATATCAATGTTCTACCAAAGATAATCTGAATCAAGTATGAACACACTTCGATTATGACATTTTATGGTGTGTGACTTGTCCACATATTACTGCTGTCACCTGGTGTGATCAGCTTTGTGGCCAGATGGAGAGCAGTCCAGTCGCTTAGGCTGATCTGCCCTTGTCTGCCAAGCTTTTGTACCTGGACCAAGGTTGAGCACACAGCTGCTTGAAGTCCTTGCCAGTAGTTCCTGTTTATTTAACAAGCTTATTATCTGATACGTCTGTTATTTAGAGTGGTCATAGCTCATTTGAAATAGACAAAAATAGGTTCCCTAAAAGGAAATCTGAAATAGAAAGGGAAGCTGAAACTTCAGTCAATCAATTGTAAGATATAACTATCTTATGAAGTGAAACTGAATATGTTTTGAAATATTTATGTTTCTATTTCTGAATGTTTTTTTTTATTTTGTGTTTTTCCAGGGCCACCTACCATATCCAGCACACAGACGCAACAAGCTTTACATGGAGAGAAAGGCCAAATCAAATGTTTCATTCGAAGTACACCTCCACCAGACCGCATAGTGAGTACAATACATTTTTTTTATGTTTTTCAAAAATTATTCTTTCTTTTGGTAGAATAATGACTGAAAATTATCTTATTCAAATATTCAGTCAATTAGATCTGCATTTTGTATAATGGTATATAAAAAATGTAATATTTTGTTTAATAAAAGGTAATTGAACAACTGTATTTTTAAATGTATATTACCTCTTATTATAATGAGATGTATATATTTATAATTTCAAGTAAGCAAATTAACTATGTTTTACACATTTTTAGGTAATAGCAACTTAAACGAATCAAGATTTTTTTGCTTATGGTTAAAAAAAAAGTTTTATAATGGTCCAAACATTTTTTTATGCTTGTCCTCGGACTGAAAGAAGTATAAGCAGATACTTGCATGAAATAACTAGTCTCTGAAGGAATTTTTTTTTTCAATGATCAGGAATTGTACTCTTTATTCAGTTTTAGATTAGTTTTTTACTCTTTAATCTTTAAATATTTGTGTTCTCTTATCTGTGGCATTCACATAGAAAATGATTCTTCTTTCCGCACGCAAAGCAGAAAAGTGCTAGTTTTTTTTTGTCTGCAGCCTCCAAGTTTTAAAATCCAGTTATTTAAAGACTGCAAAAATTGCAGGCATTTTGTGATAACCTGTTGAGCAGTAATACAATCTACAGATGATGAAAGATCTCGGCAAGTCTGCACCTAAAAATGCACACAAAAAACTGAAGATGTGCAACTTACTACTGATATTTTATTGATAAACTAACATTCATGAGTAATTTTAACAGCAAAGGCAGCAAGTAGCTTTAATAGGTTGATTGAGTTGTATTTTCAGTACCCTAAAACTTACTGTCTGCTTCTCGGTAAAAGCTTTATCACAGTTAAGCCTCTGTAGCACAAACAACAGAAACTAATTCTAGAGTCTCCAGAGAAACAAAACCCCCTGAATGAGTTATCTTCAGCTTTTTGTGACATGAAGAATCACTCCGTCACATGTTTTTTTCTGATTATTTTGTTTCCATGGAGACTCAATAAATCCAATAATCTGCAGCACTTATGCTGCTAAACCCTCACTCTTGAACCTTCATGCCAATAGGAATGAAAACATTTTTTAAATGTGCAACATAGAAGGTGACATGTAGGAACCTTCAAAAGCATCACGACAGTTTTCTATTTTTCTCTTCTATTAAAACGTAACATTGCAAATTCCTTTCCTAGCTATGAAAAAAAGTTTCCAATGTTACTTTTCATGGCAGACTTCCTGTCAATACATTGCAAATCCACTGTTAATACATACTGTATAACCTACAAGCCTGTCAATTTCATCCTGGCCGTCACCATCCTATCTTAATACAGTAACACAGCAACACAACCACAGAGCACAAATATGGTCTATAGAAAAAATAAATCTGAATTTACATTAGTAGTCAATACCGGTACATTAATGACTAAAGTGTTAGTGTTAAGGTGAATATATATTAGTGAAGATTCTCCATCATCCAGATCATGGCCAAGCTTGAAAAAGTTCAGATAAGGCAACTGGACATGAAGTTTTCTAGATCTTTCCCCTTTCATGCAATAGGTTTCTTCAGTTCTAACTAGTGGTGGGGAGCACTGAGATTAATATACACTGAAAAATAATGCAACTGCTTTTGGCATTTACTTAAATATATTTAGTTACCTCAACATAATTGTTTATGTCCTACCCTCCTAACATGAAAAAAAATTGTTCTAAAGTAACAAATTATAATGAATTAAATGCCAAAAACTGTTGCATTGTATTTTTCAGTGTATAGTAGGTCTAACTAAGAGTTAGGGGGGGCAAATGTGGCTTTGATCCCTCTCACTGGATTGGCCAAGGAGGTCACAATAAAAGATATTGTTCTTATAATATATGGTAACAAACACATTTTTAAAGACTAGCCAGGTCTTAAGAGGCCATGGAATTTTGTCGAGTGAATTTCTTTATAAAATCTCTAAAACTGAGTATTAGGAAAGTTGAAGTAGAAGATTCACCCACTAAAAAATAATACAATGTCCTGCAATTAGAAAGGAAACTGGTAGAATGAGTCATGCCAAGCAATGTTGGTATTAGTCATAAATGACAGATTTTGTAAGGGGGGACATTGTTAAGAAACACATTAAATATATGACTTCAAAATCTGTTTGATTTAGGGCAAAACCAAATAATTTGTACAGAGTACAGAATGATTTGCAGGTTGATCTTTGAGTTGATAGCATGAAATATTACCATTTAGAACCCTTTTTAAGTTTTAAATCCTCTTATTTCGTTTAAAATTATTTCGGAATAACTCTTGATCTATGCATTCCTTATGATTAAATCTATATTATTAATCTTGGGTGCTCTTGATAATAGTCTGACAGTATTTCTTTTCTAAATGAATTTACATGATTCAGGTTGTTTTCAAAATTAACACAGAGATATTTCATCAAAGCTACTGTATCTGTGTTCCTCAGGCCTGGTCATGGAAGGAAACCGTTCTGGAGTCTGGAACCTCTGGCAGATACACCGTGGAGACTGTCAACACAGAGGAGGGAGTCATTTCCACACTGACCATGAGCAACATCGTCCCAGCCGACTTTCAGACCATCTACAACTGCACAGCGTGGAACAGCTTTGGCTCTGATACAGAGATAATACGCCTTAAGGAACAAGGTGGGAGCCAAGGTTCGACAGGTTCCACCTTCCTCTTATTTGACATGACGTGTTTGTGGGTGTCTAGACAGTAGCAGTAGGTAGATTCACACGTTGTGTGTGTCACTGTGGTTCATCTAATTTTGGATGAAATGGTAAATATGTAAAAATTTTAATGTGAAAATGTGATGTTTATAAAAAGCTGTTTTATATGTTATTTGTCTAAAAGTTAATCACCAGGGTTGAAGGTGAAATTACTTTTTTCAATTTTTTTTCTATGCAAACTCATGGGTTTAAAAGTCAATATTAAGAAAACATATAGACCTGTCACTTTTATTTTTTAAATATACTTTAATAGGTCCCTGTTTTTCATAAAAAGGTATGTAAGGTATATAAGAATAAGAGTGGTGGGAGGTAGAACATTTATTTTTGTTTTATTATTATTTTTCCCTAGTTAGGATCTAACTGACTAAGTGGTAATGGTGCCCCAAAGTGGTTTAATAACTGTTTGGTAAATTAAAGAAGATTGGCTCTTGTTTAGCAGGAGCATTAGGTATGCAAGGTAAGTGAATTATCATTAGCATAAAGGTAATAACAAGAAATGTTTTCGCTGGGTCAGTTTTGTGAATTTGGACGTTATTGTGTACATATTTTGGATATCAGAGTTGTAAATTGTCCCATAAATTAATCTCAGGTTGGATTAATTTGCAGCTCAGAGTACAAGTGGCACAACAGAGAAGCATAAAAAGAAGATAACAAAGCATTTTAATAAAGATACACACGTTTTCAACACCATAAAAATACAAGATGTTAAAACTATGCTTTTTTCCTCTACTACAATAGAGGCCACATTATTCTTCTCACAAGTGATAAACTACACGTTGCTAATATAAATAAAAAATGAAGACATTTGACATGCATTAATGTTGTAGGAATTACTTTGCATTCATTTAAAACAGAAGATATTCATAAATGTGGACTGGGACCTTTTACGTGCAGAGCAGCCTATAAATACATGCGTTCTGGTTCAGCCTTTTCCCAGATGCAAAGAACTGTTCCAGAGCACGCAAACACGATTATCCTTAAATGGATGCAGAAGCGCTTGTGTTCTATTTAGTGAAAATTAAAGCACTCTATAAAATGGTTCTAGTAGCCTAAGTGAGTAAAAATTAAATTTTATCAGACAGGACGGTGATAAAACAAAAGGAGAATGTTTTCCCATGGTAATTACTTTTAGTTTTAATTTGCTGCTGTAAGAATATATTGCTTCCTGTTTGCACATTTTTTTCCTTGTCTATTTTCACAATGTGCTTCACCAAGGAATTAAAATAAGGCATATCCATCTTTATCATGAGTGTATGATGTTATTTTCTTCCCTGCCTTTAATGTAGTCTTATATTTAGGGTAAATGTAAGATATTTGCAGCACTGTATTATAGAAGGTTATGTCTTGGTGTTGCTCTCTGCAGAATCTCTCCCGGTGGCTGTGATCATCGGCATCGCCGTGGGGGCTTTCGTCGCTTTCATTGTCCTAATGGGTACCATCGGCGCATTCTGCTGCACCCGCTCACAGAGAAGTACGTCTCCTATTTGCTTTGGTATCCACCAAAGTGTGCATGCCAGTGTACAGTTTTATGCCTGAGCTCTCTGAAAAAAATGTCCATCTGTTCAAAAGTATAGATGTGGACAAATATGTTGGTACTTCTGTTTAGGATGCATTAAAAGTCTTATAATAAATCCTACTTTAGTTTGCACTACCGCAATCCTTCAAAAAGCCAGACTTAAATTTGTATAGTTTTATGTAGAAAAATAAAAGAGAAAACAAAAAAAAGAGTTAAATCATTGTTTCTGGCAAAGATTGCAGGTATAACACTCATTTATGAGGCTTAGCCGTACCTTGAAAGGAATCTTCTACCCCTCTTCTTTACACAAACTCTTCAGGGAATCTGGAGCAGAGTCCCGGGTCCTCTCTTTTGCTCTCTTCTCTCCAGCTAACCTTACAAGTTTTCTATTAGATTTAAGTCCGGAGAGGGAAATGGGGATGCAACAAGTTTGATTTTGTATATTTCAAACCGGTTGGGAAAGTGGCAAACCATTTGGGAAATTTGCATTGCTGCTTTGCAGTACATTTTCAATTACTGAAAAGGGTAAATGTACTGCACGGTTTGCAGTTCAATACACTTCTGGACTTTTGAAAGTTCAAAAAGATTACTGAAGTGCTGGCATGAGTTGCTTTTCCACATATTAATCTTTGTTTCACACCAGACTCAAAAGTAGTGCAAAGCGAATTCTCAGTTTAATTTATTAAAGAACAATAGCAGAGCACAGACTTTCCCAGTGGCGTTGAGTCTGCATTTTAAAGTTTGTGATGCCAGAACACATTTTTACAATTTCTTTATCTAGCTTAACTCCTAAAGAAGTGATCTGTACAGAAATAGCATTTGATTGTTTCTTCAAGATATCGTTCTGTGATTTAATTTTTATAAAATTGAGCTTTAAAGCTACATCTTCTATTATATATTTTTAGTCTGTATTGTGGCCAAATAAATGTGAACCCTTTCAAAGACTATGATTAATGGTCAGTGACTAAAACAAAGGCGTCACCAACACCTCACATTCATAACTCTGGTAAACAATATGTTTGATTATGAATGAGAAGCTCCTAATAAAATACATGACATTTATTGGGAAAACTTTTTAAAGATAACCAATATTTGTACAAAGGAATTTTTAAGGATTTTTTTTTATTATTTCTTTCTTCCATCATAGTAGATTTAATTTGTCTAGAGGCTTTTTAGCATGTCTTTACCAGAGGTGCCAACAGATTTGTCTACACTTAGATTTTTTTTTCATTTAGTTATTACAATATGGCAAAACAAAATCTGTGCAATCAGAAAAATCTGGATTTGAGTTACTTTAAATTGCAAAAACATTCTGAAAATGAGTAAAACATTTCTTAAAATAAGTGTATTTACCCGTAATTTAAGTAGGAAAATAAGATGATCTGCCAATGGCATTTTTACCCTGAAATAAGATAATTAGATACTATGCACTTGAAATGAGAGACTGTTTTTATTATTTTTAACGTAAATAGTCTTGCTCCATTGGCAAATGGTCTCACTTACCTACTAAATTCAAAAAGAAAATGCACTTATTTTAAGAAATAATTGCTTTCTTACATTAACTTTGTTGTTTTGTAAATTGTAGGACATTATGGAAAGATATAAGTTAATAATTTTTTTTCTTCAAAACAAGGTACTGGTTTAATAATTTAAAAAAAAAGAAAGAAAACATAGTTTACACAAAAGTGATGAGTGATCAAGATGGATGGGTTTTTCTATGGAGCGTGGACAGCCAGATTGCGATCAGGATTCATTTCATGCTATCTTAGTCTGGCTTGGACTTGCTTTGGAGGATATTTACATTTTTCATTGTGTTTGCTGCCTCCCACCCATAAACCAAGTGACTCAAGTTAGTTAGAGGCAGTCAGTCGCTGCCTCTATCCAAAAACCACCCTGTGCTACTGGTCCCTTCAGCATGTCTATTGTCTGTATACTACAGAGGAAGTGCACCTGGTTATGCCCTCACTGCCCGTCTCCATCTGTGCTCACCAGAGAGAAGTTGCAAGCAAAATTAAGACAGAAAGTAAGACCTTGTTATATGATAGCATAACATCAGCTTTGTCCCAAATAGAATTAGCCATCAATGGGGAAACTGCAGATTGCATTTCTGTAAAGGGAAAAGATAATGCTGTGTTGGCAGGGAAACAATATGATTAATAATGCTTTGTGTTGTTGTTTTTTTTGGGAAATGGGTGCGCTCTAACAAAGCAAGCCTAGGGTATCTCTGCTAAATATTATAACAGTGCAAATTATTCTGTCAACAAATACACAATGCTATTTGTCGCAGCTCATTAAGGTGCGCTGTTGGTGCTGTCCTTTCATGACAGATCTAAAAGGAGTCGTGTCTGCAAAGAACGACATCCGAGTGGAGATTGTGCACAAAGACCACAACGCAGCACGTGAAAACGAGGACCACAACTCCATGAAACAGCTGATGGTGAGTGTGAGTGTCACAGAATACTTACTTCACAATTCTAACTTCTTCTGTTTCCAAAGAAATTGTTATTTTAGCTTTTTCTTTGTTTTTGCATCTGCCTGTCCTTTCAGAGTTGACAGCTAAAAAAAAAAAAAAACTTTATAGTTGATTGTGCTATTTTCTGTGAAATAAATTATTTAGTGAGTGACGGAGATAGGAAAAATGCATCTAGACTGAGCATGTTTTTTAGTTTGCATTTTATTAAATGCAAGAAAGGTTCCATGAAAGGAACAAAACCACAGTAGACATACAATAAACCATACTGTGTGTTACTTAAGATTTGTTTTTACATCTTTTTGACTCACAGATAAGTTCCTCTTCTTTAGAGTTCTACCTTTAGTCATCTTGCTGTTAGTTCTTAATGCTTTTGAGCTACATTGCAGTTTGTATTAAACGTGAGAGCAGAGAATTTAGCTCAGCTACCTCACATAGCTGCATTTTGTAAAGATAAATAAAAGATATTCATGGATGAATTATTAATACTGCCTGCAAGCGTGGAGTGAAGGTGAAGCATGTTTCACTGATATTAAAAAAAGAACAAGTGATAAAAGTTAAAGCCGTTGGTTTCAAATGGTCTCTTTTTTCTTTTAGCGTGAGCACAGGAGCCGCAGAAACTGCTCGGTTTCTTAATATACTTTACTTGATGTCTGTGTAGGTTGAACGAGGAGAGTTCCAGCAGGAATCTGTTCTGAAGCAGCTGGAGGTGTTACAAGAGGAGGAGAAGGAGTATCAGCACATTAAGGTACGGCTCATGATCAATAGCATCACAAATGCAAGAACATGGGAGAACAAAAGGGAAAAATAGGTGGTGGGAGAGAAAATACCTTGGGGGAGAATAGAGGGGCTCGGTTCTGGAACTAAAATAACTAAAAGGGCAATAATTCATCTCCTGCATTGTTTTAAAAGTATAAAGGGCTTGGCAGAAAGGCTGCCTATTTATCAGCAGCATACACTGAAAATAATTCCAAAAACAGTTTTACATCATCTGCGCCGAGGTTTTAATGGATTCTTAGGAAATATATGTCATATAGTTTTATTATAATTATTATTGAACAGCTATTTAAACTGACAGATGTTTATAGTTTTCTCTTTTTTATATTCAACACTGTATTTATAGCAAAGCTAAGAGTTAAGATTTTTTCGTAACCTTTCAACATCACTTCACAAACTAGTTATTAGAGTTTACAACTTAGCAACCATGTTAATTTTTTTTACATTACATGTCATTGCCTTTATTGTGTTGATAAATCATGACAAATAATATTTTGCATAACAAATACTTTAAATCAGGACTTTTTGGAATTTTCAAAAAAACAATTTGGATTTGAACGAAAAAAGGCTTAAGTTTGGGCTCCTCCACTTCTGTTGTTTTTTTCTTTTTAACCTTTGCAATTAACTATAATTGCTTAGGTTTTGACATTTAACATTGAAAAATATATTAAAGTAGATTCAGCCTCATTTTTACACACATTTTATACACGAAAATATAAAGCTAAATTTGAACACATTTTTATCATACAGAAATAAATCTGACTTTGAGATGCACAAAACAGGTTTAAAATTGAGGCAACCAGATGTTTGTTTGTGTTTCTGAAGACATTTTGACACCTATCAAGGAGTTTTGTAAGCACTGTCAGCTTGCACTACAGCAAACTTGAGCACTGATATTTTAAGTAACATGGAGGCCCATCCTCCTAAGCACATTCCAAGTCAGATTAAAATCATGGATGCCCAAAGTCAGTCCTTGAGGGCTAGGGAAACCTCTATAACCTGTCCTGCAGGTTTTAGAGGCTTCCGTGCTTCAGCACAGTTGATTCTGATGAATGAAGTTCAGCAAAAGCCTTTTAATCAGCTATTGATGAAAATCAGCTGTGCTGTAGCAGGGGAGCCTTTAAAGCCTGCAGGACCTGACTATGGATACATTTGCCATAGACCTATCCGTCATCGTCCTGGTTGTTGAGGTGTTTCAATAAGTGTGCTTAAATATGTATTTTTTTTACTAAAAAATCTCATGACTGAATTGTAAATGCTTACAATAGATGCCAAAACTGCAATCCTTTTCCTCCGATCAGTGATGGATTTTCCCATTTCGCAAATGAGGGTCCCTTTACCCCTCTTTTAAACCATCTGTCCTCTCTGTCCAAAACATTTTGGTCATCACAGGTGTGTCCTTTGTTTTTGCATTCAACAGTGTGCAGCAGAATCTTGAATAGAGCTGTTGTATAATATAGGAGTCCTAACATTCCTCACTGCAGTGGATTCATAAGCAATGCTGCTCAGCTTTGGTTTAAGTGTTCCATAATTGGGGTTAACAATTTTTTTGACAGAGTTTGTTGCTGGGTATGAAGTTCACCGGCATGTTTTTTTTTTTTATCCTTTTGAGTTTCTCGGAAAGCCCTGAGAAATATGGAATTACAATATTTTTTGTAATTCTAGATTAAGATTCTTAGAAGTCTTACTACTAAAACTGATTCCATCTTTGGTTATTTAATAAATTCTATTTAGGTTTAGGTTTATAGAAAATATTTTTTTCTTCCAAACGTATAATCATCACTTGACTAGGTGTACACCAATTTATCTTTGCTTTTAAGCAAGCAAAAAATTTGGCAATTTCCCTGCTTGCTGTAATCGCATCAAGATGCCTACATGTTACTTTATCGTCTGTACCCAGTCAGGTTGCGACATTCCTCTCAATCTAATCTACTTAGCTAGCTTTATATTAGACTGATTTCAATCTCATCAACACTAAATAGACATTGACACTATCAGCAAGTGAGGAAAATAAAGTGTGACTCTCATCTTGGGTTTAGCCCTCCTGCTGGCAGCTAAAAAGAAAACACAAGGCTAAATTTAGAAAGCTGATATACAAGTCTGACCTCTGGTACCTCACCCAGTGTTTGATCAGTGAGACCCACTGTATACTAGTTGGATCTTTTAATATCTGGTACTCTGCTCCAATATATTTTTGGAGTTTATATTCAGTTCAGTTTTAAATATAAATAAGAATTAAAGCCACAGAGGTCACATCCAACCAGTTGGGTAATATATGTGCCACGTGTTTTTAAGATAGTCTTGTTGTTCTTTAAATATACAAAACAGTGTGTCATTCTTATGCACAATATTCTTTTTATATCCTTGACAGTTATTTATGTTTATAAATTGTTATACAGTAAGCCCATAATAAAAGCTTAGTAGGTGTTATGTTAAAACAATTTCTAATTAAACAAAAAAGATCAGCTTTTGTTTATTTTACTTTTGACTAGCATTCCTGTCAAAAAGACAGAATATAAAAGACACCAAAAACACCCCTTTTCCCATCTTTTCTCACCAACAACCTTTTTAAAGTTAAATTTTCCACAATCCATAAAATGTTTAATGTTCCAATCTGTGGTTAGACACAGAGACAAGACACTATATAACAATGGTAGTAATGGGACTGCTCTTTATGGGTAGAGAATTTCTAACTGAAATCTTTGGCTCTCTAACAAATGTAGCAGGCTAAGTCAATCAACTGTTCCCTCAACTAATGTATATTCCAATCCACGCAACTCAGGGTAAAGAGCAAGATATTTTGAAAAGTTAGATACAGATCATGGATATAATATAAAAAGTTGAAACTGGCCTTAATTTTAAGATGAGGTTTAAAAGGCCTTGTTCACACTGGATTCACACTCATACTGTAGGTAACTACAGATATGTTCACACTGCAGGAAAATGTGATCCTAATCCCATATTTTTGCCCATATACAACTCCTATAGAATTTTTTTCACAGCCAGTTCCAATTCTTTTACCTCCACAAAAATCGGATTTCAGCCACCTGCATGGAACAGGTCGTACGAAATTGGATATATATCACCATTTGCAGTCTGTTTGTATGAATACATTGTTTTGGAAAGACAAATGCTGCGTTTTCTTTATGATTTTATTGATATATTTTTCATAAATGTCTGTTTCGTCAATGATTTACTAAATAAAGTGTTTGTACAGTCCTCCCAACTTGTCAAATATCATATTGATGAGAAGAGTAAGAATGAACAGCCTTTGAAATGTATCTCCTCAAAGAAAATTGTGTCTAGCCAGTGTTTTGCAAGGATGATATTGACAAAGATGATATTTCAATAACATTTTTTCATATTCTAGATTGTGTTGTCTCACAAACTTCAAGCCACTTCCTGTAAAACCCATTGAGCTGGCCAGAATGCCCATATGTTTAAAAGTAACTTAAAAGAAGTTTTAAACCAGTAAAGCAATCACTGGCTTTAAAAGACAATGATGTTACTTCTAGTAATTATAGTTTCTGATACTGGGTATGTTTAACGCTTGAAATTTTTTGCAACATATCTTAGACACCTGCTTTTTGCAGATATCCTTTAGAAAATTGAAGCCATTATGTGATATTATAACATAGTAGGCGTTGTATGTGCTCACTGTCACAAAATTTTTGTTACAAAAATAAATGTTTTTTGCTTTTTTCTGAACAAATATTAAATACAAAAGAAAAAACAAACAAGTCAAGCTTATTTAGAGGCAATGAAGGGCACAGCCTTTCCTTTCAGGGTTGATACAGTTCTCTCATTTCATTAGTCTGTTGTGTAAGCAATGCTCTAAACCTACATGTTAAAAGTGATGTAGGTGGTGTCCATTAACTCTACACCATGTCTTACACTTGAATGTTTCATATAGAGGTAAATTTCATTCTCTTGATTTTCTCTTTTGTCCATTTGCTTGCCAGCACTGGCGCCCTGAAGTGTGCTTCTGTTGTGTTTGCCTGCTTACCTGCTGCTGCCTCGGGGGCCACGTATTTTTTTTTTGATCCTCCTTAATGACAGCGTGTATGAGGCGAAAGCAGACCGAGCAAGAGATAAAGGCCAGACGCAAACAATCTCCCAGTCTGCTGTCAGATAATGACAAGCATAACGAGGATCCTCTCAGGTTGTCTCTCCCATTATGAGCTGCCTTCTTTTGGGATTCAAAGCCACACTTGCTGCGCTTGACATTCACATCCATTCACAGAAGAACATAAAAAAAAAACTACACATGCCCCTGGCTGGACCCTTAGAAACAACACAATGCAGAAAAACAAGTGGCACAGCTGTAACCACAGAATAAGTTTCGACATTGACATGGAATTAGAGACTCTGTGACCCATTATGGTTTAATTAACGTTGGTATGCATGTGAACTTTGCAGTGACACAGAAGCCACACCAAACATTGAGCCAAGGCTTAATTAGTGAGGAACATGTATTCAAGGTGATAGTAGTTGCTCACCAAACTTTCACGCCAGCTTTCTTCTGCGCTTTCACTGACAAACACAGTTCACAGTAATTTTGTTGTTTTGTTTGAGGAATAATTAGAGCCAGTCTGACCTTGGCTCCTGTTCTGCCTTAGCTCCACAAAGATCATTTTTAAATAACTACCATTGAAAGTTTATTTTTGTTTTTATTACACAATAAAGACATTTTGGGCTTCTTGTTTTTAAAGATATTGATAAAGAATACTACCTTTTAATTGATAAAACTATTTATTTATTTTTTTTTTTGAAAAAAACTTTATTGTCCATCAGAGGGGAAAATGCAACCCAAATGGAAGCTTATGCAAATGTAAACATAGAATTATGCAAAAGCAAAAAATAAATAAGTATAGACTATGAAAGAGTATTTTACAACTAGAAAAAATAGAGACATTTTTATATTAAAAATTTTATATCAGAAGGATAACTTGAGGTGAATTTGAATTTAATATTCTAGCTCTTGCAAATATTTACAAAAAGAAAATATGGTGCATTTTAAATACCCATTAAATACATTAGAATATTATAGGTGTATTTGATTCAGCAACACATTTCACTGACAAATGATGCCCATTCAGATGTTTTCAAGCATTTGTTTTTGTTAATGATGCTTTTCTTCTCAGCTAAAAAAGAAATATTGAAATTGAATAAAAATCATTTCAAGGTACAGTGAAGGATTTTTGCGAATTATTTAAATGACCCGCCCTCTCAACTTTAAAAAAGAAAAATGCTGTTGGTTCCTTTTTAACTTCAAGAAAATCATTCTTATTGCCATATTGCCAGAGAGGACACTGTAAAAAAATAAAATAAAAAATGCACATGAACAACCCTGTTCCCGCTCCTGAGAGGAAACGTCTATTAAATGAATGAGAGAGCACGCACAAGCCCATTTCTCTTTGTGCATGCTCTGTTTAAAATTTGCTGTTTGCGTCGCTCATGCAAGCTTATTTTCCAATAGATTTGCAATTTTTCTAATATATCAGACTCACTACAAGGTAAGTGAAAATGAGGAAGAGTACGTAGGGGGGCCTTGCGTAAACATATCACCAGAATGATTGACGATTAGGAGGACCACTTATTTTAATGATGCACACAGAAAAGCCTACACTATATCTTTCAGCTAGCTAAAGTTGGTTACATTCAACAAATGTCAATCAACACAAAAGAAAATCTTGTATTCATTGAAAACGCCTTGTTTTTGTTGTCTTCAATAGGACCCCACAAATGGTTATTACAGTGTCAACACCTTCAAGGAACACCATACACCTACGATGGCAGGGAATCAGAGTGCCGAAGCCAGGAACCCCACCAATACCGGTACCCTTGGCAAGCAGAGAGTGCCAACAGGCATGTCCTTCACCAACATCTACTCCACTCTGGGGGCAGGCCCTAACCGCCTATACGACTACGGCCAGCGCTTTGTGCTGGGCATGGGTAGCAGCTCTATCGAGCTCTGCGAGCGGGAGTTCCAGCGTGGCTCACTCAGCGACTCCAGTTCTTTCATTGACACGCAATGCGACAGCAGCATCAGCAGCTATAGTAAGCCGGATGGCTACGTTCAGTTTGACAAAGACAGCAAGGCGTCTGCCTCTTCCTCTTCCCACTACTCCCAGTCCTCCTCACAGAACTCAGACCTCACCCGGCCCCTTCAGAAGCGCATGCAGACCCACGTCTGACCTTCAAAGAGAAAGGGGGTTTGATTGGGGAGCAACAAGCAGACAGGATTGTAAAACTGTTAAAGATTTCACCTGCAGGAGGCTCTGGAGTATCAGTAGTCTAGGTTTTTCCTCTGAATGGGATTCTGAAACGTTGAGTGGGCCCCACGCACCTTGTAACTTGCTTTGACATTAAAATGGCCCCAAAAATGAATTAAGAAGCCTTATATTTCCTTCACTCTCAAGTCTTTGACCACCCCCTCCTCATTTAGACCCAGAATACAGATGTGCCACAGAGAGCTTTTTTGCCAACACGAACAGTACAGGTTTTGAAGAACTTGCTCTATACGTTCATATTAAGGGATCAGAAAGGATGACTTCAAGGCTTGGTGTGACAATCAGCTCTGCTGGCATGAACCAGATTTGCTTTCTGGAGATTGTTATACAAATGAAAAGCTAGAATTTGGTGCAGCGCTCTGCACAAACTGCCAGACAATAAGTAAAAGCCAATGTCCTGACTCCCTACTGTAGTTTGAAGCACAACATTGAATGTGCATGCCATTTTCTAATTCTTAAAGCTATAACTTTGCAACACATCGACATTGCCACTTCAAACACTGTAAATGGCTAAATTGTTGGAAAAACTTTTCCATCACATCTGCAGACATTACAAACCCCCGCCACCCTTTGTATCTGAGCCACGCTGCTGAGGAGATAAAAAGGAGCTGAGATCTCAGTTCAAATTCCTGAGTCATGTTTTCCCTTTGACACTCCGATAAAGAACATCAGTGTACATATTTGACCGTCATTTCTTTTCCAGCATTTAATTTTTTGCCTCTTATTTTCAACATGGATGGTGCAGAATTATACACCAGCGCCACATCATGTCCATATCTATTTTGCCTGGAGGGTCTGTTTTAAACTGGGTCAATGCTAACTTATCAAGCAAAATAAACAAACACTATCAGCTATCCAGCTTATGTGAAGCTGCATCCAACATGATTTTATGATACAAAATCCAGTTCCAAGGCACATGAAAGAGAAAAGCTTATAAACCGTATTGCATTTGTCCTTTTCTCCTGAAACCACTGACCCCAAACACCAATGATGAATGAAAAGTAAACATCATATTTTAGCTAGTTTTTGTGTGAATATCTCATCATTTTTGGCAGTATCAGTGTTGACACTGGGGCTTAGTGCGTTCTGACTGTATACCTACATGTGATTGTGCTGGTCGAACATGGCAAACAGATACTGAGAAGGTTTTATTTCTTTTTCTGCTTTTATTTTGGCTAAGAAACAGTGGAGGAAGGCTAATAGCTGTAATCTTCTCTTCAGTATGTGTTACATACATATTTCTGCACTACACAATAACTGATCCCATACTCACCCTTTAGCCTCTTAACATGCCTCTTAACATCTAATCTTACACCAAAAATGTAAGTGACCCTTTGGTTAAATATACTAGTAATGCTTTCAAGTGGGCTTTTATGAAAGAAAAAAAAGGTTGTCTCCAGTGAGTTTTTTAGAACTAAACTGGAAATTCCAATAGCCAAATAAGCCAAAGCCAATGATCATACAGCATCTATCTCTTTTAACAAGATGTAACCCATTTATATGTTTGATCACTGTGTTAAAGCAGACTTTGAAAAAGATGTAATGCACATTACCTTGCAAAAGTATTCACACTTCTTTGACCTTTTTATGGGTTTTTTTTGGTTTAATTCACATGGAACTATCAGTTTATTTTGAATTTGATGTGACAGCCCTCAACAAAGTGGGTTTAAATACGAAGCAGAGGGAAAATAAGACATATAGTTGACATAATTCTACAAAGAAAAATCAAACAAAAAATATGTCTGCATATGTATTCACCCTTCCTGAGTCGAAATTATGGAGAACCACCAATTGCTCAGATAAAGTCTCCTTCTGAATACCTCAAATTGTGGGTCCTACTGCCTGTTTCTAGCAGCTGTTTCTTCACATTACATGGGGTCAAAAAAAATACTCCTTCCTCTTCCTTGCTCCTTCCTAACTGTATGCACTAGTCAGAAAGCAGTTATGATGGTGACTGTTGAAACACTCCCACTCTATCACTATTCAGAAGGAGCCATTGCTTCTCCTGACTTATGTCTACATTTCTATTAGATCTATTTTAATATAGGAATTAAGTTTTATCTAAACACTCCAACACGGACTATATCTATTGCTTAAATGTGCATCTCTTTTATTTGTTTATCTCCCTGCATTTAGCTTCATCTATCTTACTATCAACTCTGACCAGCCTGTGCGTTACCGCATGAAGAAAACCATCCAAATATGGTTATGTTGTATCTTTTTTGGGGGGGATATTGTGCTTTGGATGATGGACAGTGTTTGTTTTTCTACTAGGCAAAACATTTCAATTTATTTAAAGAGTTCTACTTTGGTGTTCACCTGCAGGGCACTTTTTTCCACATTGCAATTAACTCACACACAGCTGATTGGTGTTTATTAAAATTATTCTTCTGATTTCAATTGACTGAACTTTATTTGATTTATGTGTATCATAGTACAGGCACCTAAATGCTAATGGCAGCTATTACTTTTCATAATGTTATCTAAAAAAAATATATTTTCCTTTTAAGAAATAAAATAAATCAAAGGTAGTTTTGTTTTTAAATGTAACAAAATGTTCAAGGGGTACGAGTATTTTTGCAAGGGTCTGTGTATTATAGAGTGCATCACATTTTTTGCAAACACACAAGCTGTTTTCCTGCACTTGAGAGGTTTACTAAGGTTTGACTTTCGAAAAACAATTGTTTTATATCCTTAAATATATGAATCGATACAAAACTGGAATAATTGACGCATGTAATTCTATCCTAGGACCTTTTTTGATGATGCTCTCTCTGGCAAATATACAAAATATAACAGGATACAAAGGGCAACCAGAATATTATTATAGGAAATCAAAGTAATTAATTTTAACTTAGTTTGGGTTGCTGCAGCCAGTTCACTTGGGTAATGATTTGTGAGCTTAAAGCCCCTGATTCACGAACCACAAAGCGCTGTATTTGAACAGAGGCAAACAGTTGTTGAAAGCACTTTACATGTGATCATATTCAAAATATTTGAATAGGGGTTTGCCACTTGAGTGGCAGTGGTGTGAACTAATTTTACAAATGGATTGATGCCCATTGTACAGCTTAAGACAAAAAGCTCTGTTTCAGTGCTGATAATCCTGCTTGGTTCTTTGCAGACTGTATATAAATCTCTAATACTGTCTTTCTCTGTACATATATATATATTTTTTTTCTTTTTCTAGCTGCTATTTTCTTTTCTCTCAGATTTCAAAACAGCACATTAGCGCTCAACAAGCATATGGCATCGAAACTGCAGAGAGAGACAATAATGCTCTCTCTGTTTCCTTTCCAAAAGTATCATTAGACCTGTCTATTCTCACAAATTACACTGATGGTTTACAGTAGCTGCTTTCTTGTTTCCTAAAGATCCCAGAACCGACACTCTTCACACTGAGCACACACGAGGCTGTAAGATGGGCTTAGCCGGGGACAACTTTAATGTGAGATACAGTAAGAGGTTATTATTACGTCAGTGCCTGGGAGAAAAGCCCAGATGTTTAGCAGTACATTGCATTCAGCACAGTGATGTCTGTGAAATATATATTATATATATATATTTGTGCCATTACATTTATTGGCTATACATGTTTCTCATAATGTTATTGTGTAAATATATATATATATATATATATATATATATATATATATTAGTTATTACCACAAACGGGGAATTTCATTTATATAGTTTTTCATGGGGCTGCTCAGTGGAGAAGTGGATAGCACTGCTGCCTTGCAGCAAGAAGGTTCTGGGAACGATTCCTGACCCAGGGCCTTTATGCATGGAGTTTGCATGTTCTACCTGTGCATGCGTGGCTTCTCTCTGGGTACTCCGGCTTCCTCCCACAGTCCAAAAATGGGACTGTTAGGTTAATTGGCTTCTCTGATGTCTCCTTAGGTGTGAATATGTGCGTGGATGGTTGTTTGTCCTGTTTGTCTCTGTGTTGCCCTGTGATGGACTGGCGACCTGTCCAGGGTGTACCTGTCCAGGGTGTACGCCTGTAGACAGCTGGAGATAGGCACCAGCACCCCTCGCGACGGGGCTGCTTGGGATAAGAATGGATGGATGGATTGTTTCGTTTTTCATGTTTGGATAGGTATAGAACAGATATATTTTTCCCAAACATTATTTCCTACACCAATGTCTACATGTATCCATCTGTCCGTCAATCTGCCCATCCTACACTGGTTTGGCTGGTCCCCAATTAAAACCTGTTCAGTAAATTCATTGTGAAGATTTATATTAAACTGTAAATTTCCAACAAAAACAGCACTGTATAATCTCAGGAAATTTGTGTATGAAAAAGTATAACTCTTTGACCAGAAGAATGTATGGCAACTCATAAATATAATAACAGTACAGTAAATTATACATTTATCTAGGCAAACATGGCATTCATCAATATTATCTTTGAATATTTTAAAATCTTTAAAAATGCACATTAAAAAAATCAAGAATGGGACAAATTTGCTGTCCTCTACAATCTACAGCTTCTGCACTGATCCAAACCTAATACATTTTCCCAGTCCAACGAACCTGTACTCTGCACAGCAAACAGATAAATATTTGATAAGCCTGCCTTCTGTCTCATTCACCCCCAAATGGCAACCACAATGGTGGGCATGGGAGTACTACGGGATTTAAGTGGCATGTTAGTCCCTGGAAATCAAAGCCCTTGTTGGAGAACTCTGTGTGTCCCATTCACCTGTGAACAGCTTGCCGGCTGGTGCTGGCGCTGACTGTTTGCCTGGCTTTGAGTGTTACACAGATGCCAGGGCATAACAGATGATTAAACACAACGACCCAGAACAATTACAAGGGGTTGCTGCCCTTTTGTGATAAAACAGGACAAACCTCTCAGAGTGCAGGATGCAGTGTGGTTCAATATTCAGGTATGCTAAGGACAAGCCTCTAATAACTCTTCCAGTGTGGAAGGCTAAGCTCATCAGTAAAACAGAAAGCAACATATAAACAGCACTACAAATTTTGCTCAGTCTGGATACAATGAAAAAGAAAGACAAAACCTTCCTATGTTCAATTTCTTGCCATTGACTGCACACTGAATCCCATCTTCTCTCAAGCTCTCCTTCTTGTACGATAGCTGTTAGTGTCAGTGGTTGAGCCCAATGAAGCAGGCGTCATTTGAGACAATGAACTGATATTCACAAGCCTCTGTAAACTCTGTAAATGCTTTCTGTCTTTTTTTTTTCAACCAATCAATATTTGTTTTTTAATACTGTGATAAAACACAAGCTTTAAACTGACTAGAAATCATATATGTTTAGTTAATCCTCAATAATTTGTTTTAGCCAGCAGACTACATCAGAAATGAGTTGGGTTTGGGATTGTTTGTAAAAGTGAGACAAAGCCACCGTAAGTCAAATTAGCAAATTTTTCTGTAACTGGTCAAGTTATTTTGTTCTCCTGGTGACAATAAAAGGTTTCAATGGTATATGACGCACGGTCAGAAAAAGTACTTATGGTCATGGTAAAAAGATAGTAGGACCTCTATCAATTCTAAGGTTGTATCCAGAACTAATCAGGTTCTGAAATGTTTGAAATTTAAGGCACAAGTGTACCACACCACCTACAGTTCCCAATTTCATTGTTTTTCATCATTGTCATATGTTATTTATAAAACAGAAATGAAGTCAAAAATATAAAAGTGAAAAGCTATGTAACCAAGCTATATACTGTACATAATACACAAAACCCTAGAAATTAAAGGGTGTGTACTTTCTTTTTACCATGAGTATATCTAAGAAAAGTGGTGGTTTTTTGATGTTGCTGGAGTAACTTACCTCACAAGGTGGTGTGTTTTTTTTCTGGGACGGCGAAGAAAAAAAGGGGATGTCCGTAGAGCACCTGATAAATTAACTAATGCTTATTGCATGTACAGTCAATTAAGAGGAAGTCCCTTTGAATTGAGTTTAAGAATGCAAGAAGATGAATACTGGAAGTTATTAATGACCAGTTGGAAACAGATTTGCCTTTGGCTTTGTGAGGGATCTGGTCTGTAATTGATATTTTGTAGTTCAAAATTGATAAAGAGCTGGACTGGATTGTTCTACATTAGATTGTTCTAAACAGTTTTGTTTCACAGTGTTAGATTTATAAAAAAAAATATTTTATACCAAAAACACAAAAAAGACGCAAGGGTGATTGGGAGGAAAAACAGAAGGAAAGACTTCAACCAAGAATCATCACTGATTTTTGCAGTAATTTGAGGAACTGTATAAATATTAATCATGCACATACAGCAACTTTGATAAGAAGACA